AAAGAAAGAAAATCTCTAAGCCACCCTGGGCAGGTTGCCATGTCCCCAGCAGTGTTATCAACTTTTAATGGTCAGAATGCCAATTGTCCTAAGGACCAAGAAAAATATTTAGGACAAAGCTGCTGCACTTATTTATTTATTTATTTTTATCTACTACTCTTTTTTAATTTTTATTATTTTTATTTCTTTTTTTAATTTTTTGATTTTTACATTAATTACAGTTTATTCATTTTGTATTCCAGCTGTAGCCCGCTCCCTCACTCCCTCCCAATTCCACCCTCTCTCTCATCTCCTCCCTGCCCCTCTCCAAGTCCATTGATAGGGGAGGTCCTCCTCCCCTTCCATCTGACCCTAGTCTATCAGGTCTCATCAGGACTGGCTGCATAATCCTTCTCTGTTGCCTGGTAAGGCTGCTCCCCACCAGGGGGAGGTGATTAAAGAGCCAGCCATTGAGTTCATGTCAGAGACAGTCCCCGTTCCCCTTACTAGGGTACACACTTGGATACTGAGCTGCCACAGGCTACTTCTGAGCAAGGGTTCTAGGTTATATCCATGAATTGTCCTTGGTTGGAGTATCAGTCTCAGAAAAGACCCCTGTGCCCAGATTTTTTTGGTTCTGTTGCTCTCCTTGTGGAGCCCCTATCCTCTCCAGGTCTTATTATCTCGCTGCTGCACTTATTATTTATTTTTTGGCATAATACAATGTTTATATTGTATGTATTTCTCTAATTTGATGTTCTTTTGTTTCTTGGTCATATGACGCCACAGTAGCCCTTTAGGAGCTAACCTTTCTTTATTACTTACCCACACCAGTCTTCGTCCATCAATAAAAGCCCCTGTGTAGGGCAAAGATCAGCCAGTCTAACTTTGTTTTCCTTGAGGGACATACCATGTGCAGCCCCCTTATATGCCTCATAATTGCTTGACCATATTTGACCTCTTTCGAGAAGATTTTAATTGGATCTGCTGCCAACTCCTCCAGCCCACTGAACCTTGTTTACATTTTTCAGTTTACTTTGTTCTGATTATCTTGGAACAGGGGCCAATGTTCCAAGAGTGTCTTGTAGTCAGAGCCCCATAAAGAGATCTCTGGCATCTTTATTAGAGTTACAACTTCCAGGGCATAAGGAAGACCTTCAAGCAGGCCGGATACGGAGATCTCCCTAAGAGTGGGAGGGTTAGTATGCTCAGGGCTTTCCCAGGGAAACTTAGAAGCAGCACGCCTGAGAGAAGGCATGAATGAGTCAAAAGAAACTCCCCATCAACCCAATATCCCTAAGCTGTACAAATGTTAAAAGCTCCCAAGCATGCAATATGTGGAGGCTGGCACAACGGTGATAGCATCATTTGGCTCATCTTTGCAGGATCTTTGTTAAGCAGCTGTGCTGGACTTATGGCTTTTGATGTTCCCGTTAGATATAGCTGTACCATGTGCCCTTTTTCTGATACCAGCTGCAGGACTGCATATGATCTTGCACTACCTCAGTAGATGTCAAGTCCGTGAAAACTGAATGACAATCAAAATTTCTCCTATAGAAAGCAAGGAAGATGAGATCATTCTGTGGCTGTAAGACGTATTTCCCTCAGAAAACATACCCCTACAGGTTGCGGTTTCATTGGCAAGATGGCTTTAGTCAAGTTTGAACCTTAATTAATGTTCTTTCTTTCAATGGTTATGAGTATTTCTATCTTTTCCATAACTCTTTGAGTGAATTCTGTTTCTTCTGATTATCTCTTCAACATTTATGCTCACTTCAATATACACGTACACATAATGAAACGTGGAATTCTTTCCAGGAATATCAAAATAAAAAAGACTCTGCTAAAAACCTACAAAGATGAAGAATAATTCAAATTCTCATAATGCTATTTTATTGCTGGTACAAACAGAAATTAAAACAATCAGTTCAGAAGACTATTTGTGGTATTCACTGAAACTAACCACAGTCCAAACCCCATGAACTATTCTCTGCTATGCAGCCAACAGAAATCTGTAGCAGACTCACTGAAAAGCAAATCTGCTTGTAACAGCTCCCAAATGGGAAACAACTCAATTCCCATCCATGCGATGGAGGATGAGTTCTATTATAAGTAGACAAAGGAAATCTATCCACTAACATAAAAGTAAACTATTAATATATACCTAAATGTCAGTGGGGTTTATAGGCGTGACATTGGACGCGCGCAGCCAAATGCTAGAGACTGCACACTGGTCAGCAATATTGACCGTGACAACTTTAAGAAGAAGTCGGGGTTTTTTTGGTTTTTTTTGTTTTTGTTTTTTTTTTTTTAAATTGGAGATAGTCTCTCCTTACCTGCAATTTCGCTTTCCCAGCTTCAGTTCTGTGAAACCGCTATACTTTGAGGATATTAAATGGGAATACCCAAACAATTCTTAAGTTTCTAGTGTGGAAGCTTGAGTTGTCCCATCACTATACCCCACGTGAGACATGGATTATCTATTTGTCCATCTTCTGAATACTACCTTGGAGGGAGATAGAGAACACATTTACATCATTTTATTATAGAGTGTACCATATGACTGTGTCGGCATGTGAATGCACTAAATGTGTGCGTTACATGGCATACTCTGAGTGCTCTTTTATTGTTATAGCTCTCACTGTGTTCAATTGAGAATTCATCTTTGTCATAGAGACATGTCACAAGACAGAGTGCTATAATTACAGGGCTCATCATTACCTGTGGTTTCAAGCATCAGCCTGTGCTCTGGAGAAAGGGTGGCTAATGTGTCTTCATGTGAGCAGTATATTTACACATGGATAATTTAGTGACTCACACATTCAATTTTTTCACATAGGAGTTACAAGAGATGTTTGGAAAGAGCGTCAGGATTAGGTTTTGATGTGAAACTTCGTGCAAGAATAATGATGTTTGTAAACAGTGGTAATTCAACAATGAGCCTATTCTGTATCAGCTCAGGCTGCCTCAGCCACTGTGTTGGTGAAGAAAATTCTTGGGGGATGGTTTCATGCTAAATTTGTGTGAGTGTCCCATTTAGGGCTGAGCACTCCTCAGTATCTTCTTACCTTCTGCACTTTGACCAGTTATGGTTCTCCGTGTTACTTGCAATTTGCTGCTCAATGAGGGTCAGAGGCTTAGTGGCAGAGCTCCTTTCTGGCTGTAACCCCTGCGAGCCCAAGATGCCCAGGCAGGATTTCATCAGTCAGACTCACACCAAATAACAGCTACGTCAATGTGTAAAGTATGAAGTGAGATTTATTGAAGTATTATGACAATTTGTTCTTAACATGATCAAGAATGTGAAATTTGTAATGTTTCTCCAAACAATTTATACTTGTGTAATCATGGCTAAGCTCACGCATGAAAGCAAACCACAAGCAAACAAAATCAAAGCAAAACTCTGTTGTCTGACAACATTCAAATGAGGCTTCAGACTGCTGAGTTTCACAACCTGAATGTTGTCTCTACATATGCTTCTGATTCCCAATGATGGATGGGGTCATCTTCTCAAGTCATCACCCTTCCCAAGGTACCAAACAAAAACAAAAAAGAATAAACAAATCAGGTACTACTCCACAAAAAGAAATAAAATTTGAGTAGTTCAAAAATAGGTGCAAAAGTCAGTATTTTCTGACCACACGGGACAGCAGGGACAATGCTCTAGCCCTTGCTTTTCACATCTCTCCCGTGTTTTCAGTGATCTACAACCATTTATCATTGTGAATATAAGCAGCCAGAAGAACTGATTATATTTTTAAAGTTATATTTTGGAGCACCTTTTGTGAGGATCACAAATGCTCATACGTATCCTCAGTAGCAGGTAGTCTAAGTTCAATGAGGTACAGAAAGATTTAGCCCAGGCAAAGCCAGCCACTTTCTGAGCCTCAGGCTACCTGATCTTTGGTCAGGAGAGGTAGTGTGATTCACAGGGTTTTGATTTTTTTTATAATTTTAAAAGCAATTTAAGCATCTACTGTGTGTCTTTAGCTTCAAGCTCTGCTTCCTTATAAGGGCACCAACTGTCTCCAACCAAACTGTCATTCTGCTAATGGAGAGACCCCTTTGCCTGAATGGCCGTTTATCAGTATGGCTTACATGTTTCTTCCGTCGTTGCTGTGAAAAAAAAAATATGCTTCATTTTGACAATACAGGTAAACTCTAAGGCAATAGTAAAAACAAAACCAGAAAGGGTAATCTTACTAAGATTGTGTGTTAAGGGGAAATTGTATTTTGGAGATTTCTTTCAATATTTACACGCTATTGTTGAAAATCTTATTCTAGAAATTAATTCAGAGCTAGGAGAGGTTATTTTTAAAGTGTTGATTCACTAAGTAGAATACTACATAAGAAATAAAACAATAAAAATACATTCATATAAAATAGAAATGTACAGAAATGTATTCATTCACATAAAATATTAAATCAATGTATCTGTGGCAAAGCAAACGGCTCAAGAGTGTGAAAAATTATTGGTGCAGGATTTCTTATATATAATGCTTTAAAATTATTGCAACATTTTGTTAACTGCCTGTTATTACTTTATTTTTATTTTGCAATTTTAGCAGAAAATATCATTGTTAAGGTTGTTATATTCAGAAATAAACCTCTATGCTTTATACAAGATCTTTATCTTATCATCTTATTTTATTGAGGCAGGATCCCACTATGTAGCCCTGGCTAGCCTATAAACTCTTTATGTAGACCAGGCTGGCCCCAAAGTCAGAGCTCTTGCTGACTCTGCCTCTCCAATGCTGAGGTTAAAGACATGTGCCATCCATCACAAGCTCTTTATTCTTTATCTCTCCTTTAAATTCTACTTTTTGAATCTATTCAGATTTACTTTACTTTGTAACTGAAATAAGCAGAAATGAAAGCACTGATGAAGAAATCCTCAAAAGGTGTGAGTAGACACCGATCTACGAAAATTGAAACAGAAATGTAGAAAGCTGTTCCAAGCATGAGCCATCCCATTCTCAATGTGCTCTTGGTTTCTGCATTGAAGAGCGCCTCAGACCGGTTCACGGAATCTTCACACATCTCTCGTCACTTCTTGGGCTTCTTCTGTTTAGCATGAGCTGATACAATTCAGCCACTATGCAGTAAGTGGAATGAGGTGTCAGACCTTTAATTTCAACCGTTCTCTGAGTCCCTTCATAGGCTTTCTGCTCCTACACACAAGGGGAGAGAAATCAGATGATAAGTGGTTTCCAATGACCCATTGATTTGCTTTTTCTTTGCTAAAATCATTGAGTTGTGTTGATCATGATCCTCAGGAAAAACCTTCTCTGCCAAAGCCCTGGGCCATAACTGGGTGAAGCCACTGGTTAGGCGGTCAAGCCACATGATGTCTCTTTGAAGGCTAAGGGTGATGGAGCCATAGCCAGAGTCTCAGTTTCAAGTATTTGGGCTCTGAGTGAAAAAATGGCGCAGACTGTGGAGATGCAAATGTGAGCCCTGAGACACGGTCAAGACAGAGAGGGACTCTGCAGACCTCACCTCCTATTTCCTTTTTCTGATTCTTGCAAAGTTCTGGCAGCACCTATTTTCTGTTTCTGGCTGTCATGGAGCTTCTTGTTTCTTGCTGAACTACCCCTCTTATTTACTTATTTATTTTTTAACTTTCTTCAAACTAAGTGAGCTCTGACTTAGATGTTTACTTAGAGGAAGGTGCTGTCAATGTACTCTCCAATATAAACTATCACAGCAAGACTACTAAATAATGTGATTCAAAAGCTACTGAAATAAACAGGAAGTGTAAAGCTAATAGAAATAAATATTAATGACAGACAAACAGAATGAAATATTAACTTTTTGATATACAGGTCAGTCTAAGGGAAGCAAGCTGACTATCCAAAAGGACGCATACCTGCTCCACACAGAAATGCACACACACACAACTTCTGATGGTGATACAGACACTCACTGCTTATCAGAGAAGATAGAATAATAGTTAAAAAAAAAAAAACAAGGAAAGATCTGGGAACTTAAGAGCAAAGAGGCAGATCTCTCATGTGATATGATCAAAGTGTTGGTTAAGTGAACAAAAGATCCAGTTCATCTGAACTCACCTTGTTTAGCACGTTGTTAATTACGAAAACTCTGTATACTAAGTCATAGTAAATTTCCGTAGATGCATTCTTTCCATTTTGGTTTATATATGGCAACTCTGGGACACGGAGAAGGACCAGCAAAGATGCATTAACTAGAGTTACGGTCACGACTGGAGGATCTAGTTTTGCTGGAGAAAGAATAGGAATTTTGATGAAGCATTCAAAAGAACATTATAAATTAACACTATGCAGCATGATAAATCACTTTATATCCAGAACTTTGGCAAAATCATTATGAAGATATATATATTTTTTTATATTTCAAAAGACTGATATGATTCTATTTCACTATTGAGAGAATGTCTACCAATCATTTTGGCAACATGATGATTTCTTTATAAAATTAAGTATAAAATTTATACAGAGATGCCTTAGAACAAAAAATATTTTATTTAGTTTCTTAAAAACATAAAATTTGAAAGCAGCTTTAAAACCACCAAAAGACTTGTAGCTAGTAACTTAATTCAACAGTATTGTGTCATGTTTTATGGGCATCAGTGGGTGAAAAGAGAATATTTGGTTCATGCATTTTGTTGTCAATAGCCAGTTTTATTATTAAGAAAGAAAAAAAATAGCATTGCTATGTTAATTGATTCCAGATTCACTAAAATTTTGCAGTGGCAATTTTCTTACTTGGCAATCATTATAATTTTCACTTTATAGAGTCACAGTTTTTATAATTCTTTAAAGTTATTGTCCCCCCCCCCCCGCCCCACCTCAGCATTGGCTGCAGGCTTCTTGTGCCCCTTTCCTCTGCTGCTGCCTGGTTCCTGGATACAGCCTATGCCATGAGTTTCGGAGACCAGAAAACCCCCACCGGCCTCCAGTACTCAAGGATTACCTGGCGGACAAGAGCTACAGTGAGGGGCATGAACCATCACAGGCAGACGTAGCATACTTGAGGCAGCCCCTGGTCCAATGCACAGTGACCTGCATCATGCCCTGCGTTGGTATAATCACACCCAGTCTTATCAAAAAGAAAAAGCCAGCCTGCCGGAAGTGAAGAAATCTTTAGGCAAATCGGATGGTCCCTCCAGTGTCAAAGTCACCACAGACAGCGGAGATGCTAAAGATGACGCTGACATTGACCTGTTTGGATCGCTGACGAGGAGGAGAGCGGAGAAGCAAAGAGGCTACAAGAAGAACGCCTTGCACCATGTGAATCAAAGAAAGCTAAAAGGCCCACAGTTGTTGCGAAGTCTTCCACCTTCTTAGATGTGAAACATCTAATGACGAGACAGACATGACAAGATTAGAGGAGTGTGTCAGAAGTATTCAGGCAGACGGCTTGGCGTCTCAATTGGTTCCAGCGGGATACAGAATTAAAAGGCTTCAAACCCTTGAGTGTAGCTGAAGATGGTAAGGCCAGAACAGACACGCTGGAAGAGCAGGTTACTGCCTTTGAGGACTCTTGCAGTCCACGGGTGTGGCAGCTTTTAACAAAATACAAAGTCATCCTCAAGTCCTATACAAACACATATCCGATCCACATGGATACAGATTTTTTTCTCCTGGAATTTTGATTTGGTATCTGTGCTAAAAACTTTTACTGGTGGCCATGTAGCTTGGCTTTTCATGTTTTTCTCCAGTATAACACAATGAATGTTTTGGGTTTTGTCCTGCCAGTTTTCCAGTTTACAAGCTTATTCTTCAGTTGTATTTGTTCTGAGCTTAAATCTTTCTCTCTTTATATATATATTTATTATATTTTGTAAGTTCACCACATTTATCATTTTTTTTTCTTTAAACGTATAAGTGTTTGGAAGATCTAAGTTTTTAATACACACCCTCCCACCCTGGCTACTTAATTTGGAACCAAAGTAAATTGAGTTTTCAGCCATCTTGAATTTTTATCTGATTGCTAGCTAAAGAAATTCCCCCGGATTTACCCTTCATCCACTCAAGAGTTTTGGGATTTAATCTGTCTTGTCAATTTCAGGGTCTGAATTCTGCTGACCAGGGAGGCCTGTCACGGTCACGGGCAGCTGTGGAGAACAGTCCTACAGTCATTTTGCAGGACAATGTGATACCCGTATAATTTTTCCCAGACAAGAAGTTAACATTATTATCACATTTGGCATCTCCAAACATGCTTTCCTCTGTGTGACTCTCTGTGTTTACAAAATGTTATTGTGAATTTTTTCCTCCCTGGAATATTTATTTATATAGTGCTCGTTCTTTGTGGCCAAGCAATGCTTAGAGAAGTAGCCTCGCAGTCATGAGCACCCAGAGCTTGGTTTTTTGAAGGTCTCCATTCACGGTCTTGGATTTTTATCATTTAGTGCCATTCCTGATTTTAAACACCAGTGTTTTAATTTTGGTGGCAGGGCTATTCACTCAGTAACTCCCATTGACATAAGCAAGCCACTTCCCCGCCTCCGTTTCTGTTGTAGAGGGGCTGAACACAAAGTCCTTTCATGATCCATATAAGGTAGATCATGGCTGGCACTCTAGTCCTGAGGGCGTTGTTTCCCAATGGTGTTTGTGAATTTAACAGACTGTCAGCGTCTTTCTCTTTCTTTGGCTATTTGTTACATATCTTCTAAAATTCTCCCTGCTCAGGCGTCTTTTGGTGGAATATCCTTAACATCTAGCCTCACAAAACGGTACATCACTCAACATACTTTTCCTAGCCAAATTCACCAATGTCTATTGCAGTTTATGTGACTATGGCATAGATCCCTGCATACTTAGTTTTGAGTACTGGATCTGTGGGTAGCCCCAAGCATCTTAAATTCGACATAGTAAAACCTGAACCCATATTCTGGATTACCTAGAATGCCAAAAAACTTCTCTTTTCCTATGAAATCACATAAAAATATCTCTTGTCTATGTAGCTGTGTCAGAGATAAATGTAGAAGCCATCTTTTACATGTTCATTTTGCTCTCTGGTAGACCCAACTTCTCCCCATGTCTACCCCCCAACAGTACATTTTCTAGAGGCCTTTTCATGATCCTAATTGAAGCCACAGCCTGTTTCCTATATCCTGTAGCCTACCACCTCTGTTTCCCGCAGCCTGTATGTCCTCTTTATGATCTATTTCCACCTACATAGCCAACTCGATCTTTACAAAACATAAAGCTGCTAATGCGATCTCCCGCAAAGTTTGATGATGTGATCAAAATTAGAATTTGTGAGGCTTGGGATAGTGCTTGGTGCTTAGTATTTGCTGTGATGTATGTAAAGAGTATTGGGTTTAATTCCCAGTATCACTTATGATACACACAGCCACACACACCAACAAGAAACATACAAACAAACACCCCCAAATCAAAACAACAAAACCCAAGTTTTAAATACATTTCTTTTTTGGAAGAAGTCATAACTTCTTAAGAGAAAGATTTTCACACTGGCTGTCTCCTCAGTCCCCACTGCATGCCTTGTTCGCTTTTTCATCTCCTTTCACCCCGTGACACATGTTCTGCTTCCTCTGGCAAGAGAGCCTTTGCTGTTCCTTTGGCCTGGATGTTCTCCCCTTCCTTCTGTCTGCATATATAGCTATTTAGCTTTAGGGTTCAGCTCAAGTGGCCTTCCCTGGACCTGCATTTCCTGTCACCCCTGACAGGAACTCTATGAGATCCTAGAGTTCATTTTGTTTTCACAGCATATATCACACCTATCATTTTGTGGGAGTGTGGTTATTGTATTAATATGTGTCTTTCTTATTAAACAGAGAGCTATGGGAAGAAAGAAGCTTGTCTGCTTTCTCTGCTTGCCATATTTCCCTGTGGACCAGGCAAAAGCATAGTAAGTACCTTGTCAATATTTGCTGTGTGAACAAAAGCATTGGGTTAAAAGAAAATTTCATTTCCTCAAATTCCAAATGGCAGAATGGAAAAATGGCTATATAGGGTGCTATTAGCACTCCAAAGCTCATGCTGGCATCAGGCTCCCTCAGTACCTGTTAGACCTGTCCATCTAGGATGCTAGGATGCTAGTCCATCCTAGCATCCCAAGAGCTTTTCACCTCCTTTGCCCTGAACTTCTCGAGATCATGCTCTTTCCTACCTGAAGATACTCATTCTTCTTATATGATAGGTTCTCTCTGTCCCTTTCTCTGTCTCTTTTCTCCTTTCCTCTCTCTCTGTTCACCATGCTCTCCTTCTGTTGTAACCTGCCTAGACTCTATAGTCCCTCTACCATTGAGACCTATGTTAGTTCCTAGCATAACTGTGGCTCCTCTGCTAACACTTCCTGGCACCTTTAGCATCTCAGAAGTCATTTTGCCTCCAATACTCCATATGAGGTAAAATTAAGTTCAAGTTTTCAGGCCCTGCATGCCTGAGACCAGGGTACAATTCAATAGTAAAATACTTGCTGCTTAGAATAAAACAATAGGTAATAAATGCATGTTCTGCTTGAGTTAAAGACAAATGTATGTTCTGTTAGAATTAAGAGCATAATATCCTGCCATGTACCTTACTCCCAGAAAGCTGGAAAGTCCCCAAGAGTTTCCCTATTCCAAATCCCAGCCAATCAGCTTAAAGTGCTTTAAAGTGCTTTGTGTAGCTACCTAGATACAATACAGTACACTTGGAACAAAATTGTTTATATTTAGCTGGTCAATATGATGTAATGCTAGCCCCCCTCCCCCGGCTTCCTACACCTGATTACCTGGTTACAGTTTTTCATCTAAATATGTATATATGTATACATATAGATACGCATGTATATATACGTGTATATATACAAATACACACATATATATCCCTACCTTAGAAACAGACTGATGGCACAGTCTGGTTCTCGAATCCAGGCTGTGGCCTTGACTGGTCAGTCTTTGTTCAGTGTTCATTAAATTCCCATCAGTTTCTGTCTGCTGTTCCAGTGGTCAGTGCGAAGCTATTTTTAAATCCATAACATTCTCTATGTTTCTCTCTCTCTCTCTCTCTCTCTTTCTTTTTCTCTTCCTCCCTCCCTTCCTCCTCCTCTTCTTCCCCCTCCTTGTCCTGCTTCTCCCATGGCCAAGTCCAGTTTGCTTTATCCTCACCTGCTCTGGATTCTTCCACATGCCTCTGGCCAGTCTCGTTCTCATATATATGATGAAGGCTTTCCCCTTAATCATGCCATGGAGTGGTCATGCCATCGGTTTACAAATAAGAAGCAAGTTGATTGTTTTCATATGCCTTAGCCTATATTCAAAGTTCATATATATTTTTAATCCAAAAAATTCTGGTACATTGAAATATTACTGAGAACAGGATGACACTTTCAACATAACGATTTTCCTTATTAAGACTTTGTTCCAAGACAGCAGGAGTCAAGAGCTCAGTGAACTATGACAGGGTGCTTCTCAGAGCAAGTATTGGAAGTGCCAATGCATACAGGTGGCTCATTAGCTTTCACAGCAGGCTCTAGGAACATACTGTCCTCAGACCCTAGAGACATGCTTTTCAAAACAGGATGTTTGCATAACCTCAGGAGTTGGAGGAGAGAGAGAGCCAATTTGGAAGTGAGGAGTCAGAGGAGAGGGTACGGCTCCTTCCAAGGGCTCCAAGTAGTAGTCCAACTAAACTGTTTTCACTGAGTTTGTCTCCTCCTACCCGTGAAGCTCTGCCTTCAAAGAGCTTTGAAAAAGCACTCCTTACGGCTGTGCGTACGAGTGTGTGTGTGTGTGTGTGTGAAGAGACAGTATAGAAATAACCTAAATCCTTGTTAACACAACACCACCCCCTTTTCTCTGTGACAGTGACTGGCTGTTCTTCTTACCTGATGAGTCTAATGGATCAGACTTTGTTGAATATTTGAACTTAATCCCATTTCTAGGCTTAACTATAAGGAACGACCCACGAGTACCCTGCATGGAACGAAACAGCTTACCCATGAAGCCTCCTTTACATCAGTTACAGAATTGCCTATGGAGTGTGTTGCAAGTTGTGCCCAGAAAAAAACCATGCTAGAGAGCAGAGATGGCATTTTTTTTTTAATAATTCTTCTGCTCATCTCCTAATCTAAAATAGCTCAAAATAAATAAATGAATAAAAATAACCTTTCTCCTGAGTTCCAGGGCATGTAGCATTTTTAAACACAAGTCACTAAGTTTAAATCTAACTGAACATTGCATCACTTAGAAGAGATAGAAAGATGAGCTCCCAAAGTCTTCAGACTAGGGGAGCCAAACCTTTACAGATGCTAACTAGAAGAAAGTTTAGGTTTGAGGACATGTTCTCACAAATACTGGTAGCAAGATTTAGTAAATCTGCTGGACACAAAGCATTAGTACTTAGAACTAGGAATATTTTTACATTCTTTTGGAAAAGAAAGTACCGTTTACATTGACTGTAAATAAAAGGAAGATTTGTGAACTGATAAAGATTTGAGATAATGAAAGAAATTTTGTTCTTTGTGAGTTTATTGGGGTTAATAGTTTCAAAAGTTTGTGTGTCAGCTGGGCAATGGGGCTTTGGCCTGAACCTCTGCTCCCATGTTTTCCAAGGTTGTCAAATAAGCATAATAAGAGTCCCTAGCACAGACCTGGGGATTCCAACACATAAGAGGATAGCATGGGGCTCAGCATAGCATGGCCTGGCCAACTACCCAGAGGTTGTTCAAAGGCAAGCAACTCACTGGAACTCACTTTCCCATGATGGGATGAAGCGGGCTGTCCTGCTCCAGGCAGAGTGGCTCCCAGCCCAGGCTGTCATCACCCTCCCGTAGTATGGCTCATACAGGCTTGACGTTTCATTGGTCAGGTCACAGAAGAGTTTTGTGGTCCCCCAGCAGTCCTTCTTATCTTTCCACTGTCTCTGTCCATACCTGAGGATGGAAAAACACAAAGATGTGGGTTTCTTCTCCAGTTCTTCCACTGTGCTCATTTTTAGTACAGATTGAAACTTCATGTTATCTTCAAGAACATACAGATGTTTCTTCATGTTCACCAAGATGTCAGCTTGCTGAAAGATAAATCTAACTTTGGAGACTTCTGCCTCAGTAACAAAAGGGTTTATTTTCTTTAATGTGTAACAGGGTGTCTTCTGATGTGTGTGGACCAGCTTTCATTGTTAGTATTCTCCCTCTACATCCTTACCACGTCTGAAGCCTCAACAATGTCATTTCCCCCCTTCCACTCCTCATCAGCTCGTTGTTGAGTTAGTTATAAGGTCAGTTCTGAGATATTGCTATCACATGCCATCTCAGGTGATGCTTAACGAATGAACACACATGGCTCAGCTCTTTACTGACAATTGAGTAGAAGTTGTACTGAGGGCTTCTTTGGGAGCTCTGGTACTAAGGACTGGGAGAGAGAACACAGCAAAAAATGGGGTGAAGCAAAAGGCCAACCTGAGCTCACGGGATGGTATGAGAGCCAAAGGGAAGAGTAGTACTCACCCTTCCTACTACTCACAAATCAGAGTGATTGTGTAAGACCATGGACGATGGCACGCAGAGCACTGAGGAGGAGGGCTCCCTGGTTGAAGGACTTACCTTGTAGCCATAGAATAAGCCATATTGCTGGCCCCTGTATTTCATAGTCTGCATAATAACAGCAGCTTCATGGTGGCAGGATTAAAACAGAAGCCACAAGAGCCAGGCATGGTGGTGTATGCCTGTAATCCCATCACTCAGGGAGGCAATGGTGGATTTCTGTGAGTTCGAGGCCAGCCTGGTCTACAAAGTGAGTCCAGGGCAGCCAGAATTACACAGGAAAATCCTCTCTCAGAAAACCAAAACAAAACCAAACCAAAACAACAACAAAACAGAAACAGAAGCCACACACAAATGCAGCACAATTTGGTGAGTCCGGGTCATTGATGATTGGTGACATATTGTCCTTGCTGGGGGAACACATCTGTTCTGATTGATTTTGTTCTTTTACATTTACTATAAAATATTGTATATATGTATTCAAACTGGTAGAGATGTTGATTAACTATAAGCCATACAAATTGGGTACAAACAAGTGAAAGTTGTTGAAAATACTGTAGGGGTAGGGATCATTCTAGATACTCTGAGGTCTGAATTTTAAATAAAATTGGAAACACTCTGAAAAAATTTCAGATTAAAGTTCTGTGGGGTCTTCAAGTTTAATCTTAGCTTCACGGTAGAACAATTTCAAATTCACTTATTACTTTGGCCACAGATGGGCTTGCTTTAGATCCATTTATATTGCTTGCAGGGAACATGAGTAGTTCTCTATTTCCTACATGCCAAAAGCTTCTCCAGCTAGGTAAAAACCTAGTTTCCAAACAGGAAAAAAAAAAAAAAACAAAACAAAACTTTTACTGAAATTATTAATACATTTTACAGAGAGAACTTCTTAGACATCGTTTTTGAAATTAATCATAGAAAAATCTAAGCAAAGACTCCCCCGCCCCCGTTCACCACACACACCACAACTGAAGGTATATGGATGGATTTATGTAGTAAGGGGTGTATTTCTGGATCATATTTACACGAGATTCCATGGATTTCTAGAACAGACCCATGAAAGCGAAGCTGTAATTGCTCTTGTCTTGTATTTAGTGTTTAGTGATTATTTATGAAGTCCTCAAACTATTTAGTGGAAGAAGAACCTCAAAAACCTTATGGAATATGTTAAGTAGGAAACCTGCCAGTTTCCAGTCAGCACTGACTGTTTCTCACCCTTGACAGAGGAAAGGAGTTCATTGCGCCTAAGTGTGACGCTGATCCAGCAAAAGGAGCTGTCACAAGAGGAGCATGCCACAGCATGGCCCAGTGCGTACGCATGCTTATAGAAAGCCCTTCACACAAAGAATTCTGTAGGTAGTAAACCTACCCTAACCAATTAAAAACACATTTACAAACTTTCATCTTAGCCTCAAGTCCAACCACCAGTATCCTGGCCTCCGCTGAGTGTTTGCTCTGGGCTAAGAAGGTGGTTGCCAACACTCATTTGACAAACTGAGAAGCCGTCCTGTGAGGGGAATGCACGAAGCTGAGGGTCTCCTTCCTGGGCTCCCTAAAGCTGAAGTATCCGTCTTGAAGACTGCTCCCATCATCATACCTTTGTGTCACAGGACAGCCTTCTGCCCCCACCTCTGCTTCTTCTCAACCCTCCAAAAACTCTTCAAAAAACCAAAGAACGCAACGTCTCAAGGCGTTCGCCTTCCCGTACCCCATCGCGCCCCAGAACACATTCCCCCGTGGTTTCTCTGCCGACTGAATCTACTTACATTTTGTACTGCACGAAGTAGACACTGCCGTTGCTGCTGAGGGCGCTTCCTGGCTGCCAGCGCAAAACGTTGTGGAAGTTTCTGGACTGAAATTGGACCTTCTGAGGCTTCAGAGGGACATGGGCTGGCCGCGTTCCTGAAGTGGCAAGGACAGTATTAACCATTACTGTGAGCACTGCTGTTGTGAACGGAAGTGCTTCATGAGATCTCTGCATCAGGAATCCCTCTAAGCGAAGGGAGTGGTCGTAGAGTTAGAAATCAACATTTTTCCACTCTACAGTATGATGATTTTGAGGCATGGTGAAAGCCTCCTCCCCTCTCTCAGCAGTGGCAGTGAATGAACTCAGGGCAAGTTCTCTGCCACTGAGCTATATTCTTTTTCTAAGGTAAAATTTGTAGGATGATGTGCTTCAGACTAGAAAAGAAAAGGTAATGATACCACCCTCCTCCAGCACTCCCCAACGGGTAGAGGAACTGAAATTCATGGAAAGAATACAGTCCTTAGTTTGTTCCCAAATAGCAATGGGATCTAATGACTGCAACGAGGGACCCATTACCTGTTTCACTGAAGTGCTCACAGAGTTATTTGGATCTACTGACTTACAGTCATGGGGGACTTACCTGAGACCTGCTGTGGGCTCTGGTGCTGTCTGAAGTCATAGGTAGGAGAGGAAAAGACTTTGTTGGGCAGGATTATTTGTGTTTTCTTCAAATCATATGACATAGTTAACCAGCATTTGATCTTATGGGGGCAAGAGACTCCTAAAAACATTTTATTTCAGGGTCCAAAGTTTCCAACAAGGGAGAAAAGAATAGTTTCTTTGGTTATTTTTCTTTCCCTTGGTATTTTTATTGACTTTTTTTAAAACGTGTTTTGAAGGCCTTCTGCAATGCATGAATGGTGGTATGGACTTGAAGAGTCCATTTCCATATTCCCAAATCACTACTTACTTAATCTTACTTAGCACATAAAAATGTTCAGGGGCAGACAGGCATGACTTCTTGTAGAGCCAATCTGAGTTGACTTGTTAACCTGACGATGGTTGGCTCCTTGCCCTCTGTCTCTAGACTCTCTCCTTTGATTTTGCTACCAGCTTCTCACTGCTGCCACTCTCCCCAGAAACAACTCACAGTGCACCAAGCACTTAGGGACTTTTCCCATCATCTACTCATTGAATTTGCCCAGCTCTTCCATGATAAAGGTACTGCCACAGTCGTTTTCTTACAGTCTAGAGACCAAGTCTTAGGTGAAGGAACCTGTCCAGGAGCAAGTGTTTAAGCTAATGCAACAGCCTTCTTCTTACTACTGAAACCTAAAAGTAAAGACCTAGATGAGACCAGCCTATGGGGGAAGCAGAATGATACAATAGTAATAAGCTTTTGCCTCCCTCATTTTCTTCCTTTATGACATTTATTGAACAGGATCAGAAATATTAATCAGAAGCTGTGCTCAATCTTTTCAGTTTATCCCCAGACAACTATATAAAAAAGATATTTTTTATCAAGGCATCTCCAGGTATGGAAACAGGCTCAACAAAGTTAGACAAGGTCATGCCCAAGGTTACAGGTATGGTCAGGTAGAGAAGCACTGTCATTTTGCTAGCTCATGAATTCCTGCTAAAGAAGTCCTTGCCACTAAGAACAAGAGGCATAGCCCACTGTAGTTCACATATTTCTGTCAGATGAAGGCTGAGATTGTTATATGCTGACTCCCAGAACAATTCCATAGTTGTGGGCACTGTTTAAGCCACTTAGTGGGAGATTCCCATCTACTGACTTGGAACTCCAGGGGCCTTTCTCAGAGGTGCATTTTGTTACAATGTTTTTGAAGAATTCTCTGTACACACCATTTGTTTGTAGACTCTGTTCTGTGTGGAAGAACTCAGCATTCAGCATATACCCTAAACTCTAAATCTCTACAGCGAACTACAGTCTCCAATCCACAGGTAAATTGGGTGTTACATAAAATGCCTGGTTTTCTATATAACAAATGGCAGGTGGAACCCAGCTTTAACTACGTGGTCTAGGGTCTGTGTCTTGTTCTTATAATCACTTGATATCAAAAGAGAGAGAGAGAGAGAGAGAGAGAGAGAGAGAGAGAGAATATTTTTTCTATCATGAAAGTGGCCCCTTTGTCATGAACACTCATCACTCATGCAGTACCCATGTAGCTATTCACTCGGATGCAGAGATCTTGTGTCTTCTGGGACCATTTAGTGACCTTACAAAGTCCAGAAAAATTATCCAAGCCATTTCTAACCCCATCTTGATCAAATTCAAAACTGGCCAGTTAAAAGGAGCTTTGCACTTACCTGTTGCACTGGTCAGGAAGAACATGATGAGGAAGCCTAGAAAGCAATGCTTAGGCACCATGGTTGCGAGTGTGTCTGTCTGACAACCAGTGTTCCTCTCAGTGAGGAGGCCGTGGAGAAGAGGAACTATAAAAATCCACACGTGGACCGTACTTCCGTGCCTCAACCACAGAAACATTATCTTACCATTAAAGAATAGGAATGTCTTAACATACATATATACATGAAAGAGAGGGGGAGGGAAAGAGAGAAAAAGTGTGTGTGTGTGTGTGTGTGTGTGTGTGTGTGTATAAGAGAGAGAGAGAGAGAGCAAGCTGTGTGTGCTTATCTGGCACTTTGATCTGGCAGTTTGATAGCAAATCCTGGGGGCAGGGTAGAGACAGGAATTATGCAAGGTGAATAAACGAATCTTAAGGGAATTTGGCTTTAAGAGGCAGGATGGCTTATGGGGACCAGGAGGACTTCAGAGCAATGTGCTTGGCAAGCCCCTGGCAGCTGTTCAAAGACTCATAGTCACCTCTTTTTGGATATCTTCCCTATTAGTCTTTCTGGTATGTATGCCTCAGGCCCCTTGGTGCTCCTGACTCCCCTCAGAGCTTCCTGCTATACTGTTCGCTTTTCTTTCTCCTCTCACATTTATTGAGCCCCTCTCAATAAATGTCTCTTCTTTCCCATTTCCACCTTCATTTTCAAGCAATTAATCTCAAGGAAGTTCTTCAAAGTTGCCAAAGCCTGAAGAAGGTTACTGTGGAAGACCATCAGTTTGAGCTACATCCAATCTGTTTCATAGCTTCTGTGAAATCAGATTGGACCAGCTCACCTGCTCTTTGTCAAAGATGCATTACCAAAATTCTTTTCTGTGGTCTTACACATATAAGCACAACAAAATCATAGTTTTTTTTGTTTGTTTTGCTTTTCTCTGTTTTGAAGAGGCTCTTGAGGTCAAAAGATGTGATGCACTCTGGCTTCTTTTTTATGATATACAGGCAGAGTCATTTAAATTCTTGGTAGAAGAGCTCCATTGCCAATGGCTGTGAGTAGTATTTGTTCATTCAGGTATGCATTCAGCCATTTGTTCATTCATACTTGGCAATGTGCTGCCCTACCACAGAGCAGGTGTTGTTCTGAGCGGTGAGTAAGAGAGAGATGGCCCTGAAGGTCCAGACACAGAATTCTAGAGGGGTCAGGATAGAGACAGCACTGAGCTAAGGTCACATTGAGACTTTCTACCCATGTCTCTATCTCTCTATGCTAAAGGAGAAAGAAGAGGTTTCATAAGGCAGCTGGAAGGTGTCTTCACCAAAAGAGGTCAGCTAGGACGAGAGCTGTAGGAAACTGGGGGAGGGCACAGTAAAAGGACAGGACAGCGTGTGCTGACGATACACAGGAGGGGTAGTAGAGGAATCAGGACTGTATAGAAAGTTGTGTGATGGTATCTCCAGGTTTGTCAGCTCCCCCATGCCTGTCAGACTTCTGAATCCAGGCCCTCTCCTTCTCCAAGTGAAGCTGCTGCTCTATATAAGCTTACTTTTGAAGAAGAGCCATATAGCATGCGTTATGTTTCCTTTTCATGACTCTGGTGCACCTTGTCTTCCAATCTTTCTAGCATCATCCTTCAGGTATGTACTAATGTTGACCACTAGATTTTAAACTTTGGACCAGCCCTGCTGGTCCAAAAATAGTAGGTGATCATCTGAATTTGAACACATAAAATATTCAGTATTTTCATCATCAATGGATCTGTTTTTGCAGCAACTAAACCAAGTTCTAGTTCAAGGAGAAAGGGAAAATATTTGAGTTCAGGGTTTCGCATGTTGAGCAGCAAAGAATGAGATTGGGATTTCCATTGAGTTACTGATTTTGTAGAACAAATAAGAGGAAGTTAGGAGGAAAGAGAGAGTTGAGACTGCTTGAGAGCTAAATTCTGGCCAGGACTATAGTTCAGTGGTAGAGTGTTTTCCTAGTACTTTCTTAGTTCTTGTTCCTATCCTTAACATCCAAAATTCAGAACAAAATGTCTCTAAGAACTAAATTATCTCAAAAACCTGAGGTTTTTACCTGGGAAACACAATTGCTGTTGTTTTAGGACCCAGAGTTCAGTCTCTTGGTCACTGTGCTGGCGCAGTCTTCATTCAGAAAGGCAAACAGGATGGCCATTGGAAGAGGGAGAAAACAGGAAACAGGACAGGAGCTTACCACAGAAGGCCTCTGAAAGACTCTACCCAGCAGGGTATCAAAACATATGCTGAGACTCATAGCCAAACTTTGGGCAGAGGGCAGGGAATCTTATGAAAGAAGGTGGAGATAGAAAGACCTGGAGGGAACAGGAGCTCCACAAGGTGAGCAACAGAACCAAAATATCTGGTCCCAGGGGTCTTTTCTGAGACTGGTACTCCAAACAAGGACCATGCATGGAGATAATATAGAACCCCTGCACAGATGTAGCCCATGGCAGGTCAGTGTCCAAGAGGGTTCACCAGTAATAGGAACAGGGACTGTCTCTGATATGAACTCATGGCTGGCTCATTGATCATCTCCCTCTGATGCGGGAACAGCCTTACCAGTCCACAGAGGAAGACAGTGAAATCAGTCCTGATGAGAGCTGATAGACTAGGGTCAGAGAGAAGGGGAGAAGGACCTCCCTTATCATTGGACTGGGGGAGGGGCATAGGAGAAGAAGAAGGAGGGAGAGTGGGATTGGAAGGGGTCGGGGAGGAGCCTACAGCTGGGATACAAAGTAAATAGACTAATTAATAAAAATAAAATAAAAAATTTTAAAAACCTGAGGTTTTATTATGTCACATTTCAGAAAACAAACAAGTCCTGTCACCATTCAATGAACTCTGAGTAAGCAATATCACAGCCTGTTTAAAGCCAACGTCTCTAACAACTCATTAGGTAGACAGAAAGACAAGTTAAATTCTATTTTCCCATTAACTTGGCAGCTAAAGGCTATGTACAGGATTGTTGCAAATGATATTTGAAGTTATCATGTGTAGAAAAAAAACCCCATTAATCTGTTAGTGGGGCCTTGTTTTCCTTGCTTCAGGCAGCAAATGCTAGCTTTAGACACATTCTCTCTGTCCTCTCCTCCTCACCCTCCACCCCTCAGGAGGGAGGCTATGACAATAGGTGTCTCCATTGTACTGTGTCTGGAGAACTTGCCCAAGCTGCTGACTTGAACAGACTTGAGCCTCTTCTTTCTCCTGTGGTTTACAGAAGATTAACGATTCTTATTTTTTTTTTATGTAACAAGGGGTTTTATTATTTTTGTTCATTTTAAAAGTACATATTGAAGCATTACAGATTAAAATGGCATGATATCTGAGATTTTTTTTTTTTTCAAAATAGGAAGGGTCATGGAAAGGCACCAATAACGTGTAATAACCATAAGACATTGTGTTGTGTTTTGCATGCATTATTTTATTTGAATCTCTCTCTTAGCTCAGGAGGTTGTTATTGTCATCTTGATAGTCCAGTTGAAAAAACTTAGGCATGGCAAGGCTCTGTAGCAAATAGTCACAGAATGTGGGTTAAAATCAGATGTGGATGACCTCACAGCAGGAAGGTGATTAGAACACTGCTGTGTGTCATTCTTTCTTTGGAGCATTTATCCCATAAACGGAATGAATGATGTCAAAGAATACTTTACCATTCACCTTTACCATGCAAACAAGGGCCTGTTCGGTGTAAGCACTCTTCTAGGCAAGAGGAGGAAAGACTGACCTATACAGTAGTGCCAGCAATGATGGAGCCAAGACAATTTTCTGTAGCAAGGTCCTGGAAGCAGATGGCCTTATTCTCCTTCAGAGTGGTGTTTAAAAACTGAAGCTCAGGGTGACTTGGGTGGTGTCAGATAGGGTTGACTTCTTGTTTCTGCTCCAGACCCTTCCCTTCATTCTGTTATTAAACACCAGACCAGTACAGAACCATATATATGCCTATAGTGACAAACACTCATTGCCCTTTCTTATTCTCTAGACCCTCATAAATTCCCCAGAGAATGCCTATGACCTTCAAGCTGCTCTGAATGCTGAAATAGTTGGTTTGGAATTCAAATTGTTTTCAGAGTAGAATTCAGGAAAGAAGAAACTTTGTTACTTAAAAACAGGCAATGAGTACAACATCCAACCTAAGTTTAATTTTGGTCATTTGGACCTTGAAAAATAATAAATTACAGATTGGCCATTCCTGCTGTGAAGGTACAAAGTCCAAACTGTTCCAGAATCTTAAATGTTTGGGGCACTGAGATAACCACAAGTACTTCTCCTGTGACAGAAAACAGCTAAAGGCAGCTTTATCAAAACAATGCAGTCACAGACCTTCAGGCTATGTGTGCAAATTGAGATGTAAATAAAACATAAATGAGGTGTTTTTAGGCTCCGACTCTATCCCTAAGGTATCTATGCATATGAAAACATTCAAAATCTAGAAAATTTCCAAAACCGGAAAGAATTCTAGTCCTAAGCATTTCAGATAAAGGCCACTCAATTTGCATAGCATTTTGAAACTCCCCATTCACAACACTTAATAATTTCACTAAATTAAAATTATCTGTTCATTCTGTATGATTTTTTTTCTACTTTGTTTTGACTGCTTTCATTTTTCTTAAAGAACGGCATGTGTGAGTGTGTGTATTCGTGTTCCTAAATACATAAATACAACCTGCTTGGTCTGTTTCTGTGTGAATGTTTTCAGAGCTGAATAACGAAACGAATGTACTCCCCATCTCAACATTTCTTAGTTTTTTTTTCTGGGGTTGAGGTCTTAAGTGCAGTCCCCATCCATATTAACATGTTCATTGGGATCCTTGTTCAGGGCATGTTTGGGCAGCCTGTTTTGATTGTTTTTGATCAAGGTCATTCATTGACCTTGGAAACCCTATGTGGTATCATCCACCATTGGGTCCTTGTATAAGTACTTTCAAGTGTTGGATATGACCCTGGAACCCTGACTCTTCTAGGTTCCTCTGGCCTCCCCTCATCATAAACTTCTCCCCCCCGCTCAGGGATTCCCCCCCCCCCCCCCAACTCCCACCTACTCATTTCTCCTTATAACCCTGCTACTTTGGCTAAGCTCTCTCCTGGTTCCTTTTGGCCTTTGAGTCCTCTCTTTTTTTTTTTTTTAATTTTATTTTAATTATTAGTTACATTTTACTAACTCTGTATCCCAGCTGTATCCCGCTCCCTTATTCCCTCCCAATCCCTCCCTCCCTCCCTCATCTCCTCCCTGCCCCTTTCCAAGTCCACTGATTTGGGAGGACCTCCTCCCCTTTCATCTGACCCTGTTTTATCAGGTATCTTCAGGACTGGCTGCAAAGTCCTCCTCTGTGGCCTAGCAGGACTGCTCCTCCCTTGGGGGGTGGGGAGGTCAAAGAGCTTGCCATTGAGTTCCTGTCAAAAATAGTTCCTGTTCCCCTTACTATGGGAAACCAATTGGTTACTGAGCTACCACAGGCTTCATCTGAGCAGAGGTTCTAGGTTACATTCATACATGGTTCTTGGTGGAGTGTCAGTCTCAGAAAAGACCCTGTGCCCAGATATATTTGGTCCTTGTGGAACTCCTATCCTTTCCACATCATACTAATTCCTTATGAGTTCTCTCTTTCTGTTCATTTCCTCCCTGCTTCTCTCCCGGTCATGTTCAGTCCACTATGTTTTTCCCCTGTTCTGATGATGCCTCAGGCTGTTCCCTACGTCCTGTCTACAATAAAAACTTTCCCCAATATGACCCTGGAGCAGTCCTATTGTCAACTTCTGCAGTCCCCAGTTAGTGTCATGTTTTTTGGAAGGTTGTATAATCTTAGGGGGTGGAGAGTGACTGGAGAAAGCGTGTCACTGGAGGTGGACCTTGAGGTTTTAAATTGCCCCTAACTCTATGCTTCGCAACTGCCATTCACTGTTGACTAGTGGCTTTCCTGCTCTTTCCACTAATCTTTCCATGCTGTGATGGGGAGTATCCCTTCAATCTGTAAGTCGGCACCCATCAAAGGCTCCAACTCATGACAGCTCAAATACTTGGAAAACCAGAGACCATGAAAAGGTTTAGATGACTTGATGAGAAAGTAAACTATAGTATTTGTTTATATATGTAGCCATTCATAAACCTCGGTATGAGAGTATATTCCATTTGTCAACACAAAACATAAAATATCATGCTAAAAATAAACTTGGTAAGAAATGTCCTATGTTTAGGATGTCTAAAGCTAAGAAGGGACATAACACAAGAGCCTTGGATAGAGAAATGCTCCTTAGACTCACAGAAGAGTTATTAACTTTGGAAAGCTGTTCATTGTTCGTGAACACTATAGTAAGCAATAGAAAGCTGATTCAAATCCTCAAAGAACTTCAAGTGTGGGGATTGAACCTGGCAACAACAACAAAAAAGGTCTATTAGTACACCTTAAAAATTGTTATTGCTAAAATCAACAAAGAGATGCCTAGTCTATTAAAGCACACTTTCCAGGGTCTGAGGGCTTTCCCAGAGATGAACAGGTCATGGGGGCACCAATCTAATTAATAGCTTAATCAACATTACTGAATTAAAAGTCTATTGAATAGCTGACATTGGAACTGTTGAACGTAGGGAAGGTCATTGAAGGGCACACATTTGGAGGGTCTATCTTTACCCTGGCCCATTCTGTTATTCTTCGTTGATTCCTGGCTGTCATGAGCAGACTCTTCCTGCCATGCCCATTGGTACTGATGTTTCTGCTTTATCACACCTAAAGGCAATGGTGACTGCTCACCATGGTGTGAAACCCCTGAAGCCTTGAGCCAAAATAAATCCTTTCTCCTGTGAGTTTTCTCTCAGCTGTCTGCAACAATGAGAGTCTAATATACACACGAAGAAAGCGTTAAAAATTAAAAGTGTGATACACACAGAACTGATAAATGGATGACACTTTCAGAGCAACGACAATCTGGCATGTGACAAATGTGGCACATGAGAACTGCACAGTAAGTTGGATGCTTTAGCAAATAATATGGTGATAGTCAATTTGCCAGGAGTAAAATGCACTCAACTGTGTGACCTTTGAAAAGGCATCTTGTGAAGTTCTAACACCTGGTAGCTATGAGTTAAATCTTATTTGGAAATAGTTCCTTCGTATTGGCAGGGGATTACTTCTAGGATTTCTGCTATCCACTAAGGTCCACTCAAGTCTCTTATATAGAAGAGTCTAGAATTTGCACAGAACATTCCCCTATACTACCCGAAACCCTCTAGTTGCACTCATAATTTGTCATGGCTCATTTGGTAAACACTAAATTTCATTAAAAATTTAGACTATTAATTCATGAGAGCAGATTAATATTTTAATGTTATATTATTAATATATTTAAAAATTTTGCGTGGCATAATCGTGTGTACGTGTATGTGCAGGTGTGAGAAGCGAACATTGGTGGAATCTATGGGCTGGACTTCCGGTGTCTTCCTCAGTTCTTCTCCTTCTTACCTTTTTGGTTTCAGTCTTCCCTGGGCTTGACGCTCAGTTTTCAGCTAGGCCGGCTAACTGGTGAGAGCTAGGAATCCTTGTGTCTCTAGCTTCCTGTTTGAGGTTGCAGGCAGGTGCAGCCACACCTGGAATTTTTTTTTTTTTCACACCCAGATCTTTATGTGTGTGTTGAGGATCTAAACTAGGTCCTCAGTCATGTGCTGCACTGCACCTGCGCAGCAATTTCTCTGGCTTGGAGCTTACATCTCCATCTTAGTGAATCAAGGGTTCCTGCAAAACAGAGGCTGTCGGCACGGCACGCACTTGTTGAGCACTCTTTCCATAGAACACTTGTCCCAAGGCTTTCCCCTCACTCCATGGAGAAAGCTTCTTTGCTCCCCTGCTGTCCAGTGAAATCTGCTTCTCTTTCTGAACTACTTGGAACAGGCTTTTATCCATCAGCTACTTACTATGTACTGGAAAACAGATATAAAGGCCCTATTCTATAAGGATTTATCGATTTTACATGTATGAATGTTTTGCCTGTATATCATGTGCATGGGTGCCAATGGGGGGGGGTGTCTGACAAGGGTGCTGGGTCCCCTGGAACTGGAGTTGTGGATGATAGCACGGTGTGGCTGCTAGGAAATGAACCCTGCTCCTTGTAAGATCAATAAGTGCTTTTAATTGCTGAGCCATCTCTCCATTTCCTGACCCATTTTAAAAGAGATTATTTTTAAAATTAAAGATTATACATCTACACTAAAAAATAATTCTACAGCATTAATGGATATTTACAGGTTATAGATAAAATATAACAAATAACTATGGCAGGTTGCCCAAGTGCTTCAATAAATGACTGAGCAAATGAGTTTTGGTTTCAAAACATTTTACTTAAAAATCACAAGTAATGCTCCATAAAAAAAAAATATGTACATGCTTGTATGATGTGTTCCATCAGATTCTATCTGCCTGAATTCACTTTACGTAGCCCTCAGCTTTTCCTTCAAAGTGAAAAATGTAAACATACTATATACATGAACTTAGAAATACGAAGGTGTTTGAAAAAAAAAAAAAAGCCCACCATGTTCCTTGAGGTTATAGGATGGAGGGGCAGTGGCTGCAGGGAGCAAGATTAGTAGAGTAAAATTCACTACTGCTAACACATCCAGAAAGGGGCTCATAAGCAACATTACGTGCCTTTGACAGAGTAAACTGGCACAGGTTCCTTCCACACGGAGAGAAATCAGCCATTTTATATGGTTAGTATCAGCAAAGGTACATCATTCCTGAAATCAAAGCAGGCCTTCACCACCGGCAGGACCTGGGTGGTCTTAGCACAGTTCAGGGGCATCTCCTGTGAGTCTGTACCCAATCAAGGACTCCTTCCCGCCGCCATCCACGGGCACGTCCACCAACACGTGGGGTTTATCATAACCAAAAGAGGTGGGGGCCTTTCTCACGGGGGTGGGGTCTTGCCCTACAGCCTTTGTTTCTGGGGTATGTGGGAGAACTTCGGAGTCAGATCCAGAGCTGCCTGATCCCACCAGGCCACTGTCAGAGCCATGTCTGGAGTGACAGGTGGCAGTGCTGCAGGGGCCTGACTGGTCGCTACTTAAATGGAAAAAACTGCCTCTTCGTATTGGAGTTGGAGGACTGTCAGAGGTCACAGGAGACGTGCTTCCTTCAGTGATCATGGCCTCTGCTTCTTTTGAAAGTTCATGTTCTGCGGCTCCTGGCTTGTCTGGAGCCGTCGTTGTGGACAAGCGTTCTTCACAGATTACTCTCTCGTTCTCAAGGAGAGCTGGCTGGCACGTTGTAACAAGTGACACATATTTTGATTCAGGTTTTGTCTCTGAAGTGACATTTCTTACCACAGAGAGCTAAGTAGAAAGAATAAAGACAGAAAATTACTGAATTCAAATGCTTGTTTAAAAAAAGGCCTAAGAAGAAAATGACGTATTTCAGAAAACATAATTAAAACTAACTCATTATATTTTTCTTTCTTGATCTTTTTGGTTTTTTGAGATGGGGTCTCATGTAGCCTAGGTTGGCCTTAAAGTCACTATGTAGCAGATGATGACCCTGAACTGCTCTGATACTCCCCAGTGCGAGAGCCTCAGGTATGTGCCACCATGTGGACTGGCTTTTCCTCTTATTTAGAGACAAGGCCTGGAACTTGATAGGTAAAGCAGGTTGGCCTCAGACTCACAGAGATCTGCCTGCTTCTGTCTTCTGAGTGCTAAGATTAAAGGATTAAACACCTGGCATGCCTTTTCTTTTTAGTAGAACTTATTTAAGGCTACTGATATGAAGTCATTAAACATCTCATAAATGCACATTGCTTTTTGCACACCATCTTCCTGGTGCCTGTGGGGAAGCCACAGCAACAGTTTCACCAGTGTAATTTCATGTCAGTGACTCGGCATTTCTTTAGAGTGATATATTTTCTTTAACAGACATAGAACATGTTGAGTCTTTCACACATTTTTATTTATAAAATTATTTCCTCAAACTAAATGATTAGAAGGATTATGTAAAATGCTGTGCTGAGCCTGCAGTTTCCTGGCAAGGTTCATACAGTTATATCTCTGCTGCCAAATGCTCAGGGTCATGTTCATTTTTCTGCTTGAATGAGGATGAGATAGCTTATTACAAGGTGACTTCCTACTAGTAAGGAGAACATATAGATCATATATGTACTGTCTACTATCTATTGATAGTTCATAGCCACCTTGGAGACAGTTTTCTTACAGCAAATTCCACTGCACACTTTGAGTGTTTTAGTTATTATTCTAGCTGTGTATGAATCAGTGTGTCACCCTTTCATTACCTTTAAGCATTGTTTAAACCATTTCAAGAGACTGACGTGTGACAACACTTAAATGTCAATTGTGACAGTTTCATTTTGGGCCATCTTTTCTTCTAATCTCCAACAGCAATGAAATTTGCATGTTTGTAGCTCTTCAAAAGCCAAGCTTTGGGGGCTGTGGGCTGGTTCTCCTGTATGCTGCTCTAAGGATGAAAGCATGGCTGCCTTCTGGAGAGCTATAACTAACTCCACGCACCCCAGCGAGGCAAGGTCTTTGCTGGTGCATGCACAAGCCTCTGTCTTTGAACCTATCACACTGTATACTTACACTGACTGTGCTACTGTCATTTGTTCCCTCTAGACCACTGGCTCCTTACCAAACCTGTCAGTTTTCATCCTGAAAATTATAAGAGGTACCTGGTTCAAAGTAAAATATATGTGGCTTTGGGATGGCAATTTATAGTGAAAAGTACTATAATAATATTAAATAAAATGCTATTCATCAGGGAACATCATTTTCCTGAATGACACTGATTATCAAAGGGACTGTCAAAAAAGATTCAAATTAAGGTTAGGATCCATAAATAAATAAATAAATAAATAAATAAATAAATAAATAAATAAATAAATAGACAGATAAATAAATAAATAAATAAGTACATTACCAAGGACTTAGGTAACATTATGCTTTTTCTCTTACATGGATTCTTCTTATTATGCCAATATACAAATACCAGGATAACTATTATAAAGACGATAAAAGGAGCAACAACCAGAATCCAAATTGAATCTGGAAACAAAAGGAACAGCTACAAATTAGAAGACAAGAACATTGCTATTATGTATCAAAAGTCTTATCACCATTCTTCAGCAAATGTTATCATCAGTACTTGAAAGAACACTGCAACAGAACTGGGCCATCTGAGTGAAAACCCAGTGTACATCCTAGCTACAGATCAGGCTCTTCCTAGCACTCACTGCAGTGCTTAAGAAAGACAATCAATCAGTCCTACCCACCTGTGACATTTATGAAGCTCAACAATAATCCCCATGGCAAACTATCCCTCAAACTAAAATAGTGGTCTTGATATCTTGGGGGAAACCAATAGCCGCTGAGTTGGAACTAAAGACTGTTCTCTATGGGAACAGTTACCCTTTTAAAAAATAAAGAGCATAAGCAGTAGACAAAATTACATATACCACACAATATATATCACCGTAACTCTGCTGACAGACCCAAGAGAAAATCAGAATGCAAAGAAAACACCAAACTGTGATTAATGGTAGGATTCCAGGTAATTGTTTCTTCTCAACTGAAAGACAAACTACATTTAAATTTATTTGTGTGTAGATATGTACATGTACACATTTTTTTTTGTTTTTGTTTTTTTCCTTCTACTATGTATGTCCTGGACCTAACTGAAGCCACCTGTGTTAGTGGCAGGTGCCTTTACCTTCTGTGACATCTTCATAGTTCTCTTCTGACTTTCTCAAGTTAACACCTTTTCAAATTACCATCTGAAATAGATACTCACATATATACTTCATACACTGTTATGTGTCTGTTCTTTCTTGGGTCAAGAGGGCAGCACTCCTCTAGCGGCTCTCTAGGCTGCTGTAGTACATTTCAATGCCTGAGAAGCCGTCTCGGTTTTAATTTTGACTTCTCTGGGAAAAGGAACTATCGGGTATTTTGAAAAGAAAAGGCAGGTGCTTAAATTATAAACCAACCTGCTTCTTTTCATGATACCCTGCTTCGGTTAGCATTCTGTCTTCAGCTGGGGGAAAAGTCAAGAACTTACCTTTTCTGTTGTTATGGAAAAGGGAAATACAGACGTCTTCCGACTTTTCTGTTCTAACATTCCAGTATTTTGAGAGCCCATCTACGGAAGCACAGTATTCAGAGTCCAGTGTGGGCACGACGATGCTTAACTGGCACAGGGTCTCATTACAATCTTCTATATCAACCTCATGCTTCTTCTCTAGGGTCTACACAGAAAAACAATATTAAAGTGTATGGCTTCCTTATGGCTTCTTTAATCTGAGGGTGAAAATCATTGCATTTATCTTATTAAACACTGAAGAAAAACATGTATTGAGTGAATATGAAATTAAAATAAGCTTTGCTATCAAATAATAAGTCAATTTGTGACTAACACGACATGAGAAAGCACATTTGTTAAAATGACCTCTATGGGAACACGTATTGTTTAAAACTTGAAGAACGTAAATGTTCAGCTGTGGAACTAGCTAATCCTTGTTTACCTCGTTCCTAGAGTACTAGAAGCAGCTGGGGAGAGAGGAAAGCATTTCACAGGAAGCATACAAAAGTAGCTACATGAGGGCTACAGGGTCTCTGTGCAGTTGAGGACATAACAATGGCGGAAGAGATCCCTTGTACATTCGCAGTTCATTTGTTCTACTCGCTATAGCACGTGATCATCTGTGCTAGGGCCTGGACACACAGAGGCAGTGAGTGTTATGGCTTGGCTAGGTGGCAGGGAAGGCCTGTGTGTCAACGGGCAGCTGTCTGAGGCGGCAATACTGGTGTGTGCCTAGGTGATCTTTAAGAAACAGGGCCTCACGGGAAGTTGTTAAGCTTTGAGTGTAAAATGTCCCTCACAGGCTTATGTACTAAGGCCTAGGTCTTCAGCTGATAGTTACATCTTGTGAGGTTTTGGAAACTTTTACAAGTGCAGTCTATCTGGAATAGGTAGGTCATTGGAGCTTGGCCCTTGACAGGGCCTTGTCCTGGCCTCTCCTGCCTCATTCTCTGAAACATGATGTTACATTTCCTTTACCACATGGTCCTCCTGCCATGATGTCCTATCCAAGGGAAGCCAGGTGACCATGGACTAATCCCTCAGAAAGCGAACGCCAAAATGAATCCTTCCTCTCTAAAGTTGTTTCTGTCAGATATGTGGTCACAGTGACGGGAAAATAATGAATACAGAAGTCTGTAGGTCGTAGTGGCGTGACCTTGGAATGCACTGAGATCCACTGCCCCCAACCTCCACCCCATCCTTCCCTTGCTTCTGCTGTTCTGAGGTGAAACCTCTTGTGACAGTGGTGCCTAGCTTGCTGCATGCCCTGTATGTGTAAGGTCATGAGTTTGATCCTCAGCACAAGAAGAAAGGGAGCCAAAGTGGTTATCACTTTACACACGCTGCTGTGCTGTGCCCTGTCTGCTGCCCTCACCAGAGCTGAACAGATGGAAACATCACACCTTGTGTCTCCACAGACTGAGTGAGCTAAGTCAACTTTCCCACTTTGTCAGTCTGACTAATACGTATATATTACAGTGTTGATTTAATATGCCTGACAATTCAATGCAGTTAAGTGGTAAGAAATGTGACAGGGAGTAAAGAGTATTACAAGAGAAATTCTACAATAAGGAACAAGGAAAAAGCAACTGGGCTACAGGAAATGAAATAATCTACTGAGTATGAAAAGAATTCAAAGAGGACAGCCCTCCACCCAAAAAGTACGCAGGATGTGCCAGATGGAGTGGTGAAGGGCATCTTGGAACAGAGGATGTTACTTCTAAGGAGCCATGAGCAAGCAGCATCTAACTCAAGAGAAAAGAAAAAAGTGAGCCCCTCCAGTGCCTGCTCTGTCCCCATCTGCCCCTCTCTCCAAGACCACTGGCTCCACTGTGGTGCCTCGTGTGCCAACTGTGCAGCTGCCTTCCCTAGCTCCTGTGCTTCCAATCGTGTCCCCATGTACAGCGGCAGGGATCAGCTTCTAAGCCCAGCATGGACTGCAGCTGTTGCCTCTCCTACAGGGTTCCACCGAAAGCATTATTGCAGCCCTGCAGGCCACCCCAACCCTCCTCTGCTGCACTGGACCATCCCGGGTTTTGTTGTACTTTTCACTTCTGTAGTTCTGTGTCCTTAGAAGGCACATAGTATGGACTTAATATTAAATAAATGGCGGCACTGTGCAGAATGGAGGGAGTACAGTTTGAGCCAAGGCATGGACTCCATACCACGGCCAGAGTAGTATAATCAAGTCACTGCAGTTGTACTGTTAACTTACTTTTCAAAAATAAATCATAGCTGTATGTTATTTTATATACTGCTTATTATCAGTGAGGGAAGTAAAATACTAAGGTGATATTCATCTTACCAGGAGAGAAACAGGTATGTAGAGAGGGTAATACTCTAGAGAGCGCCCTACAACTAAACAGGCAAAGAGAAAACTTAAATGCATTCATGTGGCCAGGGTTGGCAACTAACTCAATTCTGGGTCCCTTCATAGTATTTACATAGTTTTCCTTTTTCTTACCAGAATCTATGACCCATGAGTCTTATCTGCATGTGCATGACCAGTCTGCCTTTATCACAGTTAATGACAACTGCACAAGCTATAGAACAATTCTTTTTTAAAAAGATCAAAGAGAAATACACACCTTTCCACTTGTAATATTTTTCATGTACACTGTGTAGTCGAATGTGTGACAGGTGCTAATATCATCAAACATCACTCCAAGCCTTTCTCCGTTTATAATAACCTCAGGGTGAAACACATGGACAACGAGCCAGTCTTCCTTCCTTCTGATGTCCAAGCCAGGTGGTCCAACTTTTCCTGGGGAGAAAGGAAAAGTATAATTCCTCTCAGCATAGCTACTAAATCTACCCAAATCAATGGACACATTTGAACAACTCTGCAAAGATCTAGAAGACACTCTAAGAATACAATGTCTAATAAATTTCAGACAAGAAGTTCTCTTGCTTAAACTGTTTCAGTGATTTAATTTCACTTCTGACTTTGACTTTAGGAAAATGCAATTAGTGATAAATGTTGTTTTTCAGAGGATGAAAAGGCTGGGCTGGTGGTATAGGCCTATAATCCTTGCTATTTAGAAGGGTTGGGGGGAGGGCAGCTGAAGACCTGCTTGGGCTAAAGAATGAGTTTGAAACCAACCTAGGGAAATTACTGTCACCATAAAAAATAAAAACAGTAGGCTGGAGATGTAGCTCAATGGTAGAGCATTTGCCTAGCAACGAAAGGCCCAAGGTTCATTCCCCAACACTCTGCCCCCACATAAACATACAAAACAGAAACTCAAGTAAATACCTTCTTATTTGTAGCTTAAGGAACTATAAAACTATTCCCTAAAAACTATTTCTGAAAAGCCCCTTCTCTATCCATCATCTTCTATCATTCATAAATCATCTATCTATCCATCATCTATGTATCATCTGTCTATATCTATCTATCAATCTATCATCCAGCCATCATCTAACAATCAATCTATCTAATCATCTATCTATATAATCTATCATTTGTCTATTTATCATCTATCATCTGTCTATATATCTAATCTATCTATCTATCTATCTATCTATCTATCTATCTATCTATCTATCTATCTATCTATCTATCATGTCTTTGTCTGGTACCAGTGGAGGTCAGAAGAAGGTTTGAGACTCTCTGGACCTGAAATTACAGATGGAGTTGCCATGAAGGTGCTGAAATTTGAACCTGGTCTCTGGAAGAACAGCCAGTGGTCTTAACCACTGAGCCATTTGCACAGGTTCTAGAAAGTTCTTTAGTTATCTTCCTCACTGAAATCTAGTGTCTTTGAGTATCTATGGGTGTCTGGAGGATGGTTCTATAAAAGTTTGCTAATGGTTCACTGTTTTAATTTAATTTTTTATATTAATTACAATTCATTCACTTTGTATCCCACCTGTAGCCCCCTCCCTTGACCCCTCCCAATCCCACCCTCCCTCCCTCATCTCCTCTCACGACCCTCTCTGAGTCCACTGATAGGGGAGGTCCTCCTCCCCTTCCATCTGACCCTGGGGAGGTTATCAAAGAGAATGGTTCACTTTTTACTGTGAAAATCAGAACTACACACTCAAGTAGTCTGTGCATATCCCTGTTTCTCTGGTGTATGGGGTTTGTTTGGTGAACATTTGCATATGCTTCTCATGTGCACTGCGCACATACTGTGTTCCGCCTAGGTCTGGTGTTGACTCCCCACTGTGTATCTCAGGCATACTTTCTGGGACACGTTAAGTCCTTGATAAATCTGTGGTGGACAAATCTGCCATGAAGATGGCATGTGTCAGATGAACCCAGAGAATAAAAATACCTAAAGCAAGTAAAGGAAGGGCCTCTGGAAAAGCCTGGCCGTGTACCCCACAGGCATGACAGCGCAGAAGTGATCAGTCACACAGGGTGAGCTGCGGAGGAAGGGAAGTTGGAAGCGAAGCCATCGACGTTAGCAGACGAGGGCACAGGCTAAGGTGGGATGCCCCCACCAGAGATTAGAACTGATCTTGAATATTTTGGAGTTGAAAGTGAGAGCTGAGACCAGTAAACTATAGGGTAGGATGCTGGGAGGGCAAAGAGCTGAGAATCTTGGGCTCAGAGACATGAAAGAACTCTAAACTTCTGTTTCTTTGGGATAGATAGGCTGACTTTAATTGCTTCACTAAGTCCTGTCTGAGCCTGCTGCCTGCTGGATTACAGGTGTGGGTCACCGTAACCAGCTTGAAACTGTATTACATTGGTGTTTATGCTTCCCAGGTCTTCAAAAACTTAAAGGAGGTAGGAGAAATGAGCCCAGTAGACAAATCCTCTGTGATGTAACTTTGAAATGAATTTCACAGTGGACAGAGAGGGAAAAGCTTATGTCCAGCAATGCTGGTCATAATGCTGGTCAGGGTTTGAATGGACTGGATGCTAAATGTTTCTAAAGTAGCAAACTGAAGGCCAGTTCAGTGCTATTTTATGAGGCCTGGAAGAAAAAGATATTGGCTCCTTAAATTCTGTCAAATGTTTATCAGACACTTGTAGTAACTATCAATAAAATCAAAACAAACATACACAGAAGTGTTAATACTTCAAAATTAAAATGTATCCATGCATGGACTAGAGAAATGGCTTAGTGGTTAAGAGCACTGCTCTTCCAGAGGACCCAAACTTGGTACCTAGCACCCATACTATAGTTGGTAACCACTTACAGTAACAGTCACAGGGGATCTGATGCCCTCTTCCAGCCTCTCAGGGCACTGCATGAATGTGCTGCACAGACATACATGCAGGCAAAGCACCCATACACATACAAATTAATTAGGTATTAACTTAATTAAATTTAATTTATTAAAAAGTCATACATGTATACAATCTACTTACCTTGTCGGCATGTAATAAACTCTTTTGACTCTGCATAGACAGATTCTTTCTGTCCAACCTTAGCTTTAACTCTGGCCCAGACAGATTCATCAGGATTAGCAATTTCTTCATAGATATTACAACAATGATCAGAAATGTTGGTGCAAGAATCAATCCATTTACTTCTATAATAAAAAGGAACAGAGACAGAGATAAATCTTATTATCACACAAACTTTAGCTATCTATCTGTGTTTTGCTTTTCATCCAGTCAGCTGCTTGGAAAGGCTCAATTAAAATATGACAGAGATGCCAGATGAAAGAAGAAGTCCTTACTCTTGAATTAATCTAAAAGAATTCTTAATCTAAAAAAATCTGAAATTCAAATGGCTTTAAAATCTAAACCTTTTGTTCCAGAGAAAAGATAATGTGACACCATAAAAAGTTGCTTGTTTAATGAATGAAATTCATTATTTAAAATATCATATAGATTAGGGAAGTAGCTGGTTGATAGAAAGTTTGTGAGGCATGTGCAAAGCACTGGGTTCAATTCTTATAAGAAATAAATTACAAAATGCATAGAAGACCATAAAAATTACAAGTTACTTTTAGGCTATATGTGACTTATATATAAACTTTTTAAGATCTGAAAAACGTCAGAAATATGAAATAATTCTGTCCCAAGCTTTTGAGATAAAGTGTTCTTAACTCTTCCTATAAATTCCTTAGAAGAGATAGGATTCATACAATATATTTCATATATTTAAGTTTTAAATTCTGCTTTAAAAGTCATTATGGAACCCGTTTATACAGACATGGCTCCATTCAAACACGTTACAAAAGCTGTTCACTCACTCGTATGGATTCCCGAGTAAGAGGAGCAGGGGCTGCCTCTGTCATGAACTCGATTGCCTGCTCTTTGATCACTTGCCTGTGGCGATGCAGCCTTGCCAGGCTACAGAGAAAGAGGATCCAGGCAGTCCTGATAAGACTTAACAAGCAAGGGGCAGATGGCAAAGGAGAACTCTTCCTTTCAGTGGACTGGGGGAAGGGGAGGAGAAAGAGGAGGGAAGGGTGGGACTGGAGAGAATTGAGGGAGGGGGCTTCAATCGGGACACATAATGAATAAATTGTGAAAAAAATAAAAAAAAAGCTGTTCACTGTGGTCAGGTTGTTTGGTTAGTTTTAATTATTTATTTTAGTAAAATTTACAGTTATTACAGAAAGACAACACCTCAGACATCAGCTTTATTTGTTGAAACTTAACATTTTAGAAATTCCTTGTCCACACAAGAGTTTTTCATTCTCTCAACTTCATTATTAATTAATGACAATATAGATATGGGGTTTCTTCCTTATTTATCATGTTCCTAGTGATATTGCTGCTTAAGCTGCCTCATCCTTGGCCAGTAAGATACCTACTGGGTAATTTGACATCCCCATAATCGTCAGCCACATGGGAGATTCTCTACTTTCCTTTCTGTCTCTTCAGGCTGGGGCTATTGCTTGGACATAGAGTGCTTGACCTCATCCCTCCAAAGATGGAACAAAAACCTGTCAAACCAACCCAACAGGCCAAACAAACTGCCTGAAATCTCCATATAAATCTTCATTTTGTTCCTTGGAGTCAGCATTTTGCCAAGGAAAACATAAGGTTCTCCCTACTGGTTTCCACAACATTGTTATGTTCCTGAGAAGCCAGTCTCACTGGCTTCCACTGCATGTGCCTAGTATCTTACAGAACTTAATTTTATTTCCATTGAACAACAAAGTCTGGAAATCACTACGTTTAGGGCCATAGAAATTTCTTTTGTATTTTACAAAATTAATGCAGTAATCCGTTTCTGTAGCCATCATTTGTTCAATTTCCTATTCAGCTTTAAGTTCTATTTTTATAACAATGTATCTTACAGGTAATGAATTAACAGGTCTAAAAGTAAACACTGGAGAGACAGTTCAATCAAGTGCTTACTATGTAAAGCATGAGTTCAATACCCAGAACCCACATAAAACAAAACAAAATAAATAGTTTGGTGGTGTGTGCTTGTGGTCCCAGGGCTAGGAAGACAGAGACAGACAGGTGCCTGGGGCTTGTCAGCCAGTCCAACTAGCCTGCTTGGCAATCTCCAGGCAAATGGCGCCTGAGGAATGACATCTCCACATACTCATGCACACAAACATGCACTCACACACTCAACAAGCACAAATGCACCATGGGAGGTGGGGAGTGTAGCGCAGTGGTAGACAGCTTGCCTAGCGTGTGTAAAGGCCTGGGTTTGATCTCTAGCACCACAAAAACATGCCCAGGTAAGCAGATTAAGTTTTGCCAGACACATGTTCTTCCCCTTGGCCAGATCTACTTTGCATTCACATTAATTATGCATGAGGGTCACTGTCTCAAGTTTTCAAACAGAAGATGTTTTTCAGAGTTTTAATGTTTTCTTAATTAGTGACTGATGGGGGAGGGTGCAGCCCACTGTCGGTGGTGCCATCTCTGGGCTGGTGGTCATGGGGTTTCTATAAGAAAGCCCACTGAGCAAGCCATGAGGAGCAAGGCAGTAAGCAGCACCTTCCATGGCCTCCTCATCAGCTCCTGCAACCGGCTTCCCATCCTGTTTCAGTTTCTGTCCTGATCCCTTCCTTCAATGATGAACCACTAGTGATTTGGAAATTCAAGTCAAATAAACCAAAGCAAGTTGCTTTGGTCATGGTGCTTCATTGCTACAACAGTAACTCTAGCTGACAGAGTTATAATAACTAACAGTTCTTGAAATATCTGTGGAGGTGTGTAGAACACACTGTTCATGTCCTTATAGAGTTTTGCCCTATAGGTTATTTACTTAAAAGAATATACAATGGATAGATCTGCGTGCTAAGATTTTTGTCAAATGATCAGCCTACATGTTACCAAGCCTGGGATAATCACTGACCAGGATCTGTGTGGTAGATATGAAGACTGCCTTTGTAGCATGCCTATCAAAAGTTGTTAACCTTAATTAAACCATGAGAAGACAAATCCTCAGTCAAGTCTTGCTTTCCATTTGAGTCTGCCTTAGCTGTTAAGTATTTATTCTGAATGTTATGGGGTCTACTTAGATCCAACACAACTCAAATGCCAGGTCAACGCAGAAAAGACAAAGTTATTGTAATCAAGCTGCTACTGATTGATCAGCGATGCACAACAGACATGGGAGCTGAACTGTGACCCTGAGCCAGAATGTAACAGAGCTTTTAAGTGTGAAAACCACAAATATCTGTGCCAAGTTACAGTTACTTTTTTTTTCACGAATCAGGGATAAGGGACTTTCCTAGGAACATTTCAGGTTGATTTATTCAACTGTGGTGGGTGACTGGCCTGGTCCTCACATCTCAACTTGCCAGCCAGGATGTCAGTTACCCATGTACATGTCTCTCTACAAGGCTGGGCGGCCTTGGGAACTGAAACTTTATTTGACTCCTATTAAAAATGGAAGTTTTATTCAAAATGGCTTCGGTTTGGTTCCTTCTTACATGAGGTATTGCTAAACTACTGTCAAAGTGGTGTTTTCCCTCACTGCCATTAACTGCAAAACATGTTTACTCTTTGCTAACAATTAATAAATCTTAGTTTACTAAGACTAGAGAGAAATCTTGGAAGTTAGTGGTATTTCTCTACTTCACTACTGATAAGCACTAATCTGCATCCTTAGAATTTTTGTGACATCTACAGATAGTTGATAAAGTTTGGTGAGTGGGAAGGAAGGATAATGGAAGAACACAGAGAGTTCTGGAATGTGCAAAGATTCAGATTAAAACAGAATAGAAATAATAAATGCACAATACTCACCCATAATTCTTTACCTGTACAGTAAAAAAGGGAGTCTGTGACATGTTCTGGTATTTCCAGCATAGGATAGGGTTCATGTTATAGGAGGTAATTAGAACATTCGTTGGTACAGGAACTGTAAAAGATCCAAAACCAAAATGGACCATGGTAAGAAACTAGCATCAACAACAGAAAAGCTTATGTGATGGAGTGTTAGACAAACATACACATGAAAGTGAAAATCAATTTAGTAGATACTGAATTATTTCAACCAGAGCAAACTTAGAGGAAGCGTGCTACTGAAAATGTACAGGAGAATTGTGATTCATCTGAAATTATGAAAACACTGTCACGGTACTTATACTGTGATGGCTGATCTCCACTCTCCTATTTCAAGACAAGGCTCTATATTTAGAACCACCCAGGAAAAGCACCTCTGCATGTGTCTGTGAGGGTGGCTTCTGGAGTTTTAGCTGAGGAGGAACAAACTACCCTGCATGCAGGAGGTATCATTCCAAGCCAGTGGTTCTCTACCTGTAGGTCATGACCCCTGTGGCAACTCTCTATCTCCAAAAATATTTACATTGTAATTCATAGTTATGAGGTAGCAAAGAAAACAAATTTATGGTTGGGGTCACCACAACATTAGGAACTGTATTAGAGGGTGGCTAGGAAGGCTGAGTACCACTGTTCAGAGGGGTTCCAGAATGAATAAAAGGAGGAAGGGGTTGGGGGAGGGGGAGGGTCACTGTCAGCTCTCTCTCTCTTCCTGGTTGTGGATTTAATGTGATGAGCTGACTCCTACTGACTGCTATGATAAAGTGCACCCTCAGACTGTGAGCTGAACATGACCTTCCTTCCTTATGCTGTTTTGTTGGGTATTTTGAAACAGCAATGGGAAAAGGCACTAGTGTATATGGGAAACACGCGTGCAGAATAAAAAAATAAACGCCCACAACATTTTAGTGGTTCTGATAAATAAACTCTCTGCCTACTGCAATAACAATAATTTATCACTCAATTGCAATCACTGGAATTTTCAATATTTGCCAGTGCAGACTGTACTCAGGGTCTATAGAAGAACCGGCCACCCTATGAATTCTCATTCTCACTCTAAAATAGCCCCTGTGATAGAACCTTTATAGTTTGTTTTTGTTTTGTTTTCTAAATAGCACATGGAAATGTGCCTAAGCACACTGAAGCATCCACTGGTCATCTTAGTTTTATCAACCCTGTGCTTTCTGGAATGTACCTTTTTTCCTTGATACCACTCCTAAAAGAGCTGTTACATCACAAGAGTCACATGAGAGAACAGGCAGATGAACATAAATGTAACAAGGGGGATGTGACTCCAAAGTTAAGATCATTCCACATCAATGACTTTAAGCATCACTGACTTTAAAAGCTAAAGGACATCAATGACTGGCAATGTGAGCAGGTAAAGTGGCTCCCATGCATACCTTTCCATCTTCCGTGAATATGCTAAGAGCATCCAAGCACAAGCTTACATTTTTCAATATACTCTGATATAATTGCTCTTATTAAAAATTACACCCTGGGCCAATTAGTAAGAATCCCAGGTCCTTTCCTGGTTACCTGTTAAATAGTTACTTCGGGCATTGTCTTCTATTGAGTGGGACATTGTGGTAGTTTTAATTATCCAACGTGACATCATCTAAAATAAGAGTCTCAACGAAGGATTATCCAGATCAGGTTGTTCTATGAACAGTCTTGTGAGGGATTGTTTTAATTATGTTAATTGACGTGTAAAGAAACCTAAATGTGGGTTGTACAATTCCTGAATTTGGAAGCTGAGCAATTAGCACACATGCATTAATTAATTTCTCTCTGCTTTGAGAGAGAATATGATGGCCAGCTGCTTCAGGTTCCTTTCACTTGGGCCTCCCCACAATGACAGACAGCAATCTGGAACTGTGAGCTAAAACAATCCTCTTCCTCTCAGCAGCATCTGCTGTTCAGAACCTGAAAATGTCAAACTGCTAGCTCTCTCCCTCGCCCTTTACTCTTTCTTTCTTTCTTTGAGAAATCCATACTTGCTATAATGTTCTGACTGAATGTATTCTCAGCTCCCACTGCCCATATCCCATTTCTCTCCCAACTTTGGTTTCTTTTAAAAACATCGAGTCCCTTAGTGCTGCCAGTATGTGCATGGTGCATGGTGCGGGGCCATGTGCTGGGAGCAGCCCATCAGGGGCTGCAGCTCTGCATAAACTGACAGTCTCCCTCCTCAAGCAGCCATCACTGCCAAGAGCTCCTGGCTGAGGGTGACAAGTGGGTCTTCCTGAGCTCCTCTCCCACCCATGCTGGGATTTTGATTGGCTTGACCTTTACCCTAAAAACAAACAAACAGAAGAATATAAAAGACCTGTACAGTAAAACTTTAAAACAATGAAGAAATAAAGAAGACACCAGAAGATGGAAGATCTCCGGTGTGCATGGATTAGTAGGATTAATATTCTGAAGATGTCCATCCCACCAAAAGTAATTATACATTCAATGAAATCCACATAAAAAATTCAATGCATTTCTTCACAGAAATTGAAGAAACAATCTTAAAATTCAGATGGAAGCACAAAAGACCCAGGTCAGGCAAAACAATCATGAGCAACAGAAACACTGCTAGAGGTATCATAATCCCCGATTTCTGGCTCTACTACAAAACTATCACAATAAAAATAGCATAGTACCAGAATAAAGATAGAGACAATCAACTGAATAGAGTTGTGGACCCAAATATAAGCCCATGCTTCTGTAGTCACCTGGTTTTTGACAGAGGCCAAAACACATTTTCAGCACACGGTGCTGAATGAAGCTAGACCCTCATCTTTTACCTTGCACAAAACCCCAAACGGATCAGGGGCCTCAATAAAAGCCTTGGTACCCTGCTTTCTTTTCAACAGTATTTTCCATGGTTAATTTGTCAGCATTTATGCTTTTGACAAGAAGCGAGCAAAAACCAGGCAATGCCTTCAGCACGTGGCTTGGGGCCTGCCTGTGATGGATCAGAAAGCTCACACTAGGCACATTTTCTACAGGCAAGAGCTGCTGAGCCTCCTGCCCCCATAGCGCAAGGATGTCCTTTCCTCCAACTTCCAACAACTCATTTCCTTTTAGGATATTTTAAGATTTCTTTTTATTAGTGTGTACGTGAACATTATGTGCCTCACATGAGTGCTTGGTGCCTGTAGGGACCTGAAAAGAGCATTGGGTCCATTGGAAGTGGAATTACAGATCATTGTTAGCCACCTTATGGGCTGGGAACCAAACCTGGGTCCTCTGCAACAGCAGAAATTATCCTTAACCCCTGAGCCATCTCTCTAGCTCCTAAGATCCCCCTTGTAGGGATTCCCAGTAAAAATAAAATTCTAACTGTATATATTCAATGTGATGTTCCTGCCTCAAGGAAAGGCCACACAGAAGTCACGCTAAATACTTTCAACATATTATCAAAGTTCATTTATATTTAGGAAGAAGCCATTGTGTCATGAAACGTTAAACTACTAAACGAGAGTAGACTTGTGCAGCAATGGGTGCTTTGTTGTTGTTTGTTTGACTGATGTTTTTTTTGGGGGGGGTGGTTCTCACTGTAGCCAAGGCTGGGCTTCAACTCATTATGTAGCCCAGATCAAGCAAACAGATGACAGGAAGAAGTTTCAATGGATTATACAGGAATTACTACCAAAAAGAAACTTTTGGTTTTATACCCAAAGATAGCCAACACCTGTGGTTTAAATGGCCAGAGAAGAAACCATGTGGTTTGGTTATTAGACATTTACCACTCTTGTCTTTGCCAAACTTAACATGAAAACTGTCATATTTGTCACTAAGTTTCAAATTTTACCACCTCACCTTTAAACTGCAGTGTAGAGTAGTTCAAATAATTAAGGCTCACAGCAAACTCCTATCCATAATATTTACACTGTATAAATAAAAATAAATGTGGAGAAAGCAAAGGGGTATTATTGTTATGAAGTTTAAGATTATACTAGAATGGTTTCACAGACTAAAACAATCTTACGAATTTCGTGATCTCTTGAAAACAGTTTTCTTTTTTTTATTTTTTTTTTATTTTATTTTTCTTTTTAGTTACATTTTGTTAACTCTGTGTCCCAGCTGTATCCCGCTCCCTCATTCCCTCCCCAACCCCACACTCCCTCCCTGGTCTCCTCCCTGCCCCTTTCCAAGTCCCCAGATAGGGGAGGACCTCCTCCCCTTTCATCTGACCCTGTTTTATCAGGTATCTTCAGGGCTGGCTGCAAAGTCCTCCTCTGTGGCCTAACAGACTGCTCCTCCCCTGGGGTGGGGGTCAAACAGCCTGCCCTTGAGATCCTATTAGAAATAGTCCGTGTTCCCCTTACTTTGGAAAACTACTTGGTTACTGAGCTACCACAGGCCACATCCGAGCAGAAGTTCTAGGTTATATCCATAGATGGTCCTTGGTTGAGTGTCAGTCTCAGAAAAGACCCTGTGCCCAGATATATTTGGTCCTTGTAGAGCTCCTATCCTTTCCATATCATACTAACTTCCCTTCTTTCATATGATTCCCTGCACTCTGCCGAGGGTTTGGTATACTACTCAGCAATCAAAAAGGAGGAAATCATGAAATTTGCAGGCAAGTGGTGGGATCTAGAAAAGATCATTCTGAGTGAAGTATCCCAGAAGGAGAAAGACAAACTTGGTATATACTCGCTTATATAGACCTACAAGACATGATAAACATAATGAAATCTACACACCTAAAGAAGATAATCAAGAAAGTGGACACAGGCGAAGGTGATTAATCCTCATTTAGAAAGACAAATGGGATGTGCATTGAACTTATGACAGGAGTCTACCACAAAAGGCATCTGAAAGACTCTACCTAGCAGTGTTTCAAAGCAGACACGAAAACAGTTTTCTGAAACTTGTTCTAGAGAAGGTGCGGTGGTTAAAATAGCAATGGCCCTCATCAACTCATGTGTTTAAATGCTTAGCCCACAGAGAGTGGCACTATTAGGTGTGGCCTTGTTGGAGGAAGTGTGTCACTGTGGGGGCAGGCTTTCAGGCTTCAGATGCCCAAGCTCAGCCAAGTGTGCCATTCACCTCTGCTGCCTGTGGATCAGGATGAGGACCTTTTAGCTTCTTCTGCAGCACCATGTCTGCCTGCATGCTGTCATGCTTCCCGCCAATAATAGACTAAAGCTCTGAAGCTGTAATTGAGCCCCAATTACATGTTTTCCTTTATAGGAGCTGCTGTGGTCGTGGTGTCTTTTCTCAGCAATAGAAACCCTAGCTAAGACAGAAAGGCTCAATCTTATTCGAAGACCTAATTCCCAAACTCCTTCAACTCAAAACCAAAGGTCATAATGAAATGAAGTATCCAGGCCCTCCAAATGACTGCCTATCAGAGCAAAGATAGACTGACCTACAGGTGGGAAAAACTATACAGGGAGACTGCTGTTTTCACAAAAGTGATTTCTTATTGTAAACTGAGAAGTGGAATGACAAATTCAGATAAGTAGAAAGTATCATGGATTTGTTATTGTTGTTAAAATAAGTTTATAATGACATTCTTCCTCTGAAATGAGCTGTTCCCAGTCTGAGGAAAGAGATGTTTTTCTTTATGCATTTCAACTTCTATTTTAGGAGGCGGCAGCATGCCCTGGGTTTCAGCTGAACAGGAATAATGTCAGACTCCCTTTACCTCTTCTTGTGTTTGGCAGTGACTGAAGTCAGCAACTCCTGGATGCTAGACATGTGTTCTGTCACTGGACTAATAATTCATTCTAAGTTGAGAAATAGTTTGGGAACTGAAAAAAAACAAAAAACAAAACTAGTCTTTTCTGCATACAAAAAACCAAACCAAAACAAAAAACAATATAAAATCAAGTAAATGGTAGAAAAATGAGTGTTTGCTCCTGTGCAAATTTTAAATTTCTTATATTGACCTAGATGATTTTTTTACAAAGCCAATATACATCTTCATACATAACTAAAATAATTTAATATTTAAAACTATTTTTGAAGTAATGACACATGTGTAAAGTGATAATTCATGCATATCAAACTCTATAGGGCACATCTCAGATAATCCCCACAAGCATCCTATGAATGACATAGAATTATGATACATATTTTGTCAAGGAGAAAACAAAGCTTTAGGTAATATAAGTACAGATGACAATAAACAATGTTTTGTTTGTTTGTGATTGTTTAATAAAACAAGGGCTATAATCTCCACATATAAATAGGAGTGGGAATGATTTTTTTTTTTTCTGACAGTTTCACAAGTGTCTAGCTCATGTAATGATGCTTGGCTTTATGGCTCCATCAGATTATATAAAGCCACTGCAAAACCTGAATAATACATTACAGTAAGTCACAGGACAAAATGGATGTTGTGTATTTTGATGATGAATCCCTTGGGACATCAAAATAAAGATCTCCTTTAATAAGAAAATTTCACATGAACCAACTCCTCTCAGGAAGTCACTTCATTCTGATCAAAATCTCATTCTGATTATCCAAACAACTACAACAAAACCATTTATTGCTCATCTAATTTGTAAAAATCTACAATACTGCTGTGTGTTGCTAAATTTTGTATGCCAGCTTTTAAATGCTATTATTTGTTTTCAGTCTCTTAGGAGTTTTGTTGTTGATGATGATGATCATTTGTTTTAGAATCAAAATGTCACCTTTCAAAATCTGCAGAGATTGTGAATCAGAAGTTTACACTCTAAAGTAATCTTATCTGTAAGCAAAAGGAGCCTAGGCTGTAATCCCAGAATTCAGAAGGCTAAGCCAGGGAGTTCAGTTTGAGTTTATCTTATGTTACATAATGAGATACTACTTCAAGAAAAAATACACAAATAAACAAAAACACCAGAGGGAACACAACAAAATCTAAAGAAATGTACAAAAAAAAAATCTACAGAATGTATTGAAAAGAGAGAGAGAAAAAAAAATACAGGGAGGGCTAACCCGCCCTGTATTGTAAGTTTAGGGTACAATACAGAAGGGCACAGGTTTCACCATAGGGGCAGCATTTGAAGACCTGCAAACCATGAAGTCACACAGAGGGGAACCACAGTAGAAGGAAGTGCCTGGCACTCCATTTAAGCTTCTGACAGGCAGCTGTGTTAGTCTTCTCTCCACAACTGACACTGACTTCTCAATATTCCTTTAGAAGGGCTCCTCTCCACTCCACAGCCATTTCTCACAGAATCCTCCAGCCTCCTAATGGGCTTTCATCCTCAAACTACTTTATACGATGCCTGGCTTTTCTAAATAGCATTATCTAAACCTGCACAAGAACATCCTCTCACACCAGACGGGAAGACACATTATTTTCTTGGCTCAGGTCCTGCCCTTCTTTCAGGAACATCATGCTTCTATTTCTGAGAATCCCTCCACACCACACCTTTCAACAATGTTCTTCCTACACAGGCTGGCACCCAACCAAGCTAGGAAAACTGGAGCTTCCCTCTGGGATTTTGTTGGAATAGAAGAAGTTGCAAGGTTTTAAGCCCCAAAGGCTATCAATATTCATGGTTCATCCAAGTAGGGAATATGTCAATAACCAGGCCACTGGAAATAAGAAATGGTGAGTGGTAGCAGTCATCACTGCCTTGCTTCTTCTTCTGGTTGGTTGAGACAGGATTTCTCTGTGTAGCTCTGGCTGTTCTGCAACGCACTATGGAGACAAGGCTGGCCTCTGCCTCCCAAGTGCTGGGATCAAAGGTGAGCACCACCATGCCCATCAGTCTTAGCCTTCTTGTGTTCCATCTTCCTGTAGACAAGCTGATATCTCTCATTTTCTGCTTGACTCTGCCTTGGTTTCTCTGAGCCCAAAAGCTTTTGTTTTAGGTAAAGTCAGCTAAAGCTACACTTCTATCCTTTGCTGTTATACACAACAGTTTCCTACTTCTCTCCTGACATACAGTCTATGATAAAACAATATCCCACTAGCTTAACATGCCATTCCCATCTCTGCAAACACATGCTCCCAGACCTCTGGTTCTAAGCCTGGGTTAACTTTCTCTGCACAATCTTCCCAGAGTCCCCTGGATGGGGCTTGGCACCCCACCTTGACTTCCAACAGCTTGTAAGTAAATTCAAGCCCTTATCACAGTATAATGCAACTGCCCACAGCGACAGGCAATCTGCCCTAGATAACGGCTGATGGCAGGGTGGCTAAGAATTTGGACTCTACCGCCTAGTGAGTGACCTCTACCACTTGGGCAGCCCTATGTGGCTCATCCTGGATGCAGACAAGAGCCGGTGTGAAAACAGCTCTGTGATGCTCTCTGCTAAGAAGGTACCCAGCACTCAATAAGTAATGTAAATGTCTGTATTCTTAGCCTTGGGCACCATGTCTATCCTAAGGGATGACTAAGGATTTGTTTGCTTGATTTTTTTTTTTAATGAATGCATCCTATATTTAATTAAAAAATTTAAATTACCAAAGTACCAGATCTTAATAAGGCATTTTGTACATATTACATACATGTCATAGTAACTTCTAATTCGCCCCCCAGTTGCTGCTGCCTCTTTGCTTCTGGTCACCCCCACCACTACTACCAAGAGCTCTCTCTTCTGCATCAACGAGTTTTATCACTTGGTACTTATTTACGTATTTGTTTATCTACCTCTCCGTCCATCCATTCATTTATCTATCTATCCATCTATTTATAACCCCTCCTTCCTTAAGATCTCTTCCTCCCCTCTCATGGGCTACACACACACATACACACACAGGCACCCACTCACGCATGCATAAATCTAGGGTCTATGTACGTTATTTGTCTTTCTGAATCTGGTGTTCACTTAACAAAATTAACACTATTTCCAATTCCATTTTTCTGCAAGCACGATTTTATTTTTCTTTCCAGCTGAGCAGAATTTCATTTTGTATATGCACTTCATTTACTTTATCTGTTCTGTTGACTTACATCTAGGTGGCTATTTCCTAGTTATGGTGAATAGTTGTTTGCTTGATCTAAGAGAGTCACATCAAGGCAAGGCTGAATGGGGATTCTGCACACCTAACCAGAACATTTGGAAACCATAACAGGGGCTTCAGGGCTGGCACCCACCTGGGAGGTAAAGGGTTCCCACTTGCTTTCCAGCAGCTGCCAACTGGGAAATTTTTAGACACTTAAGACCAGGGGCAGGGAGAGACTGGATAAAAAGTTTTATTGCTATCTCTAGTTCTCTAATCAGGAAGAACTATCCCCCATCACATATTTCCTGAGAAAGGTCAATAAGCAGGTGAAACCAAAGGCTCCGAGGAGTTAAGCTATGAGAAGAACCCTTGCACCTCAACACTGAATACTTAAATGCCAGACTGAAAAATCAAAATATCTTAATATACGTTGGCACGCCTCCTCTCCTCCACAGAGGATTTGGGTAACACCCCGAAAAGGAAGTCCGTAAACAGTGAGCGGTACACACAATGCCAAACGCTCGCTGCCCTGGAGAGTAACTGTAAAGCAGACTATGTGCTGGCGAACGGGTGAAAGCGGCTGTAAACCTCGGTGAGCCCGGCGCCCGGCGGGTCCCGGGGCTGCCTCGCCGAGGGCGGCGCAGCCGGACCGGGAGGGAGGGATTTCCCGGCCGGACGCCTCCCGCCCCAACCCGCAGCGCCTGGGAGACCTTACCCGGGGGCGGCTCCGGATCCTCCGTGCTAGTCACAGCTCCGCTCCCGGGCTCCGCAGACAGCATCAGGACCGCGAGCAGAAGCATGCTGCGCGCTGCGGCCTGCGGGTCCATCCCTGAGCAAGGGACACCCTCGGACAGGGAACCAGTGCCGCCAGTGGCCCGGGCACGGCGTCACGTCCGCCGCACACTACTCAGCCAAGACCGCAGGCGCCAGGCCTAGGAGCGGAGCTGGCCGGGGGAGCTGGGCGGGGCCAGGGCGCTGGGCGGGGCCAAAGCCAAAGTCTACAACCTATGGGATCCAGCAGGGCTGTAGGAGGCGTGGCTTCACGGGCAGGCGGAGCTTTACGGGGCAAAGGGTAAAGGCTGAAGAAACTCGTCAGGGATGGGCTCAGGGCGGGGTCTGGGCATAGGGGCGGGACCAATGCTAGACTCGTTAACGTTGATTGGAGATCGGGGGAGAAGTGGGGTTTGAGGCGGTGCCTTCACGAGGGGGCGGGGCCTGGGCGGGCCCAAAGTGGACTTTGGACCCCAGAACTAGGCGAGGTCTGCAGAACTGCGGGCTGCGTGGGCGAGAGGCGATAGTAAGTCCGGACCAGCGTGGACTAGCCTGACGCATGGAATTGTAGGCGCCGTGTCTGTATTCAGGACCCGGGCTGTGGGATACTGAGAAATGATCCAAGCGTTACCTTCTTTCAGCTTGGCAGTACCTTCCGCTGTTCTTTCAGTTTATGTAGTAACCTGGGGTTGGAGATTTTTGCCTCAGTCCACAACCCAGACCTAACGCTTATCTCGTCCATCAGAATGTAGGCGTCTGGGACCCTGAGATTTTAGAAGAGTTCCAAAAGGCCTTCTCCAGTTCCCACCACTTTTGTCTCTAGAACTCAAACCTCTGGTTTCCAAGACGGCTTGTGTGCAGACTCACACAACACAAATCCAAAGTGCTTGCCTAAGCACTTTATTCTCTGAAAAAACAAACAACTATCAAAAAAAAAAATGTGCATGACCATTTTAATAGTGAAATGTCGAATGGCAGATTACTAAGTAGTCTCCAATCAAGAGATCAGCCCTCCTAAGAGCCTCTCTGACCGCCCGTTAGTTTGCACCTTTCTAATTCCTCTATATTCAGTTTAGAGTCCTTGCCCCTAATTAAGACAGCACTGAAGGGTTGTGCTCCAACAAGCACCGGGCTGCCTCAGCTGCTTCAGTTCTCTGCTTATCATCATCTTTGCAAAAAATTTAAACTGTAACCCATTCTTCTATTCTCTTTACCTCACTTTATTTTATTTGTTTGTTTTTTTAGTTGGTTTTTTTTTTTTTTCGAGACAGGGTTTCTCTGTTTAGCCTTGGCTGTCCTGGACTCACTTTGTAAACCAGGGTGGCCTCGAACTCACAGATATCCCCCTGCCTCTGTCTTCCCGAGTGCTGGGATTACAGTCACGTACCACCGGCCCGGCACCCAACTCAATTTTTAATGACACTTTTACACCCACCTGCTGCAGTATGCACATTGATTTGATTTTCTCTGCTACTTAGAACCCAAGCTCTGTAAGGCCGAAATCTCGGCATGACATTCAAGCAGTCTGCGCTGAAGGAAAGTCCTATCTTTAAGCAAAATGTTATGAAGGCATTGTGCAGACTAGAAATTATCAGCGAAAGCTCCCTCTTTGTGTTAATTAATCCGTTAATTAATTAACTATGTTAATAGGCTAGTATTTCTCAGACTTTAATGTCAGCATACATCTTTATGATCTTGCCCAAGTTCAGATTCAGTAGATATGATTCTGGTTAGACTTCAGCTTTCTCCATCTCTAAAAAAGTTACACACCAAAGTATTCCTTGGTGCTAGGAATAAGAAAGCTTTACACTATGCAAAAGACTATTTCCTTTGGGGTGCTTATGGTATGCACCACATGAAAGACATATCTAGTCATTATATGGGCACAAGGATGAATTACTGAGCTTTGCTGTTTAGGGCAGACTGTAATTTGCCTTTCACAGATTTTGTTGTAGTCGAAATCACAGGTTGGTTTACCCAAGAAGCAGACTATGACTTGGAAAGTAAGATGCAAAACATTTCTTGGAGGGTGCTTCTGAGATAAACCCTTATAAAAGGGAGGCAGAGAAAGAGCAAGAACTGGTATGTCAGGACATCTCAACCTCACAAGCTGCTCGGAAGTTGGGAAGACCTTGTAGGGATGCCCTCTATGGGTGTGAGAAGCGAGGCTATGACTTCCCAGCACTGAACACAAGTTAGAACAGGGCATGATTTTGGGCTCCCATGACCTTAGCACCTCCCCCAAGAATGCTGGCAACTGAGGATGACTAGTTGCAGCACTCCTGCTGACAGGAAGAGGGTGGGAATAAATCTTCCATTACTGAGGAATTATTTGCCAAAGCTTCACAGTATCATCCACAGCAGAACATCCTTCCACAGCATTGCCTTAGTCCCTCAGAGGAGGAGGAGTCCTATGACATCATTAAATGTTTCAGAGCATTGCTGTGGATACCCAAGATAGCTCTGCACTGAAATACTGACCTGAGCAAGGTAGACACAGCACCTGCCCCCATGGAGCTTGGATCCACCAAGGAAGAAGCACTGAAAGAGAAGTATCAATACTGAGTGCCATTTCTCAAGAACAATGAGATTAAAGTATCATAAGTGTGTGTGGGGGGGAGTAGCTTTGTCTGGATTTTAATGAAAAAAAAAAAAGTTTTATTATGTTGTTTGTTTGTTTGTTTGAGTTAGAGTCTCATGTTTCCCAGTCTGGCTTCATACTTACTAAGTGGCCAGAAGTGACCTTGAGCTTGTGATCTTGTGTCTACCTCACACACACTCAGATTGTAAGTATGCACCACCACACCAGGTTTCTGCAGTGTTGGGATGCAACCCAGGGCTTTGTGTATGCTGCCCAAGTACTTTCCCAATCCGGTGTACGTGTAGTTCAGTAGAACTTTTCTGAACATAGTTACAATATTGTAGCCTGATAAATTAGGAGATAAGGGGGCAAGGAGTAGGCTTGGTGGGCTAATAAGATTAGGAGGACAGTAAATAAAATCTATATATTTAAAAAATACAATTGTACAAAGTTTGTAAAGTTGACACATAAAGGAATAAATGATCAGTGTCTTGGCTTCTCTGATAAATTTCTAGCACCTAAGGATCAAAAATGATCTAAGTATATGCTATCCCCCATTGTAGCCTCAGGCAGGTTTTTAAACAAACAAACAAAAAAAAATTGGGATGAGGGTGGTTCATCCAAAGCTTGATGAACAAGGAACCATTGCTCAGGATTAGAGCTATAGTTTGAAGGCCACAATCAACATGGCTTAGAGGAAATGAATGCACTAAATAAAATAAATTACAAGTTTAGAAATAGAGCATGACAAATCAAAACGACCCTAAGATTTCACCTTACACTCACCAGAATGGCTAAAATCAAAAACTCAAGTGACAACACATGCTAGAGAGGATGTGGAGAAAGGGGAACCCTCCTCCATAGCTGGTGGGAATACAAACTTGTACAACCACTCTGGAAATCATCCTGGCTCTTTCTCAGACAATTAGGAATAGTGCTTCCTCAAGATCCAGTTATACCACTCCTAGGCATATATCCAAAAGATGCTCAAGTACACAAAAAGGACATTTGCTCAACGATGTTTGTAGCAGCTTTATTTGTAATAGCCAGAACCTGGAAACAACCCAGATGTCCCTCAAGGGAGGAATGGATGCAGAAATTGTGTTAAATTTACACAATGGAATACTACTCAGCAATTAAAAATAAGGAAATCATGAAATTTGCAGGCAAATGGTAGGAACTAGAAAAGATCATCCTGAGTGAGGTATCCCAGAAGCAGAAAGACACACATGGTATATACTCACTTATAAGTGGATATTAGACATATAATATAGGATAAACATACTAAAATCTGTACACCTAAAGAAGATCAGCAAGAAAGAGGACCCTCATTCAGAAAGGCAAACTGGCTGGACATAGGAAGAGGGAGAAAACAGGGAACAGGACAGGAGCCTACCACACAGGGCCTCTAAAAGTTTCTACCCAGCAGGGGATTAAAGCAGATGCTGAGGCTCATAGCCAAACTTTGGGCAGAGTACAGGGAAGCTTATGAAAGAAGGGGGAGATGAAAGACCTGGAGGGGACAGGAGCTCCACAAGGAGAGCAACAGAACCAGAAATTTGAACACAGGGCTCTTCACAGAGACTCATACTCCAACCAAGGACCATGCATGGAGATAACCTAGAACCTCTGCACAGATGTAGCCTATGGCAGCTCAGTATCGAAGTGGGTTCCCTGGTAAGGGGAACAGGGAATGTCTCTGACATGAACTCAGTGGCTGGCTCTTTGATAGCCTCCCCCTGAGTGGAGCCTTACCAGGCTACAGAGGTAGACCATGTAGCCACTCCTGATGAAGACCTGATAGGATAGGGCCAGATGGAAGGGCAGGAGGACCTCCTCTATCAGTGGACTGGGAGAGGGGCATAGGAGGACTAAAAGGAGGAAGGGTGAGATTGGGAGGGGATGAGGGAGGGGCTACAGTTGGGATAAAAAGTGAATAAATTGTAATTAATAATAAAAAGAAAAGAAATAGAGCATGATCCAGTGACAACAATGAGTAACACACACTGCCTAGGCTCTGGCATTTCCTTCCTCTTTATCAAGGCAGAAGTGTTTGCCTACTTCCCTTTAAAGCAGAGAGCTTGAGAGTCTGTAACTACTGCATGGAGTTCTTCATTTTCTTTATCAGTCTATAAATTATAGCCAATACCCTTAAGCCCACATGCTTCCCCAGGCCTCTGTCTCCACATTGATTCTTATCTAACTTTTTTTTTTTTCACATATAGTACTTATCACCATCTGGAGAGCTCACTATAAGTTATGTATACTCAAAGCACATAAAGCATATGTATTGGATATACCGTATCTTTTTCACAAAATGTACAAATAAATGTGACCTGATCTCCACAAATAATTACTGAAATTGTGTTTATAATTACCAAAGAATGCAGCAAGGTTACAGGAACACAGAAAGGACACAACATGAGATTTAAGAAATTCCTGTGTGAGTGAATATGTAACACACACATCTCTTTCCCTTGTCTCTTTTACTACTGGAAGATAAACTTCTCCTTTCTCTCACTGCCGCATCTCCTACCCCTGGATAAGTGTCTAACAGCCCATTAGTTTTCAGCAAATAAACA